TCTCTCTCTCTCTCTCTCTCTCTCTCTCTCTCTCTCTCTCTCTCTCTCTCTCTCTCTCTCTCTCTCTCTCTCTCTCTTTGAAAATATCCTCCTCATGGACATTTCGGTATTCGTCCGCCACTCGCTTCATTGTCCTGTGATGCGGAATCACGTCAAATCCGTGTCCTGTAATTGTTTGCTTTCGTGAGCTCCTTGGTCTTATCGTGGAGAACTTGCAGGTCAGAAAGATACTTTTGAACTTATAGACTTCTTTGGAAGAATATAGCGAAGCCAACCTCCTCGCCCGCCGCAACAAAATTCACTGCCCAGACTGTGGATACGACGAGACCCCCGTTGTAAAGAGAGTTGAAAGGTGGACTGGATGTATGCAAAGATTACCAAGCTCAATGGTATGGAATCGCCAACTGGTGTTTCATTTAAAGTTGGTATGCCAAAACAAGCCTGTGGTCTTATATCATGACCTGCCGGGTTAATCAATCCAACTTGGAATCAGATGCTATTTTCAACGTGAAATTTATGGCATTTTTCAAGAATGAAATGTTATAGGCAAATCATTCCTTGCTCAACAGATGTGACTCCATTCAATGCCTTTGACACCTGAGAAATCGGGCTAATGCATCATGCACGTTGCCGATCTCATCCCACTCGTATAGTTACATCAACACAGCAAAAGGAACAGAATGCAACATCTCCTCTTCACAATGGACCCTGAACAGCCCTCGGTTCCGTAAAAGTTCTCCACATTCGTCTCAACCCCCATGCCATCCCCGCATATCACCCCCATACCCCCACGTCTTATCGATAAACCCCACCGGTATAAACCGACATGGGGACCCCTATTTCTTGAAGTATAACTGCGAGAAAATGGATTATTCATTGGAAAACCACGCTTCCTATATTGGCCGTCCGGCTAGCGAGTTGCCTACGCCAGCTCTGGTGCTTAGCAAGCCTGTGCTGGAGCACAACACGAGCATACTGCTCGAGGATGTGAAGCAACTTGGAATCAAGTTCCGGCCTCATGTGAAAACACTCAAGGTACATGCAATTGATCAATGTCTGATTCTTCTTCTAACCATTGCGATCAGTGCACCGAGGTCACTCGCATGATGTTGGGTAATGGTACCCACCGGCGAATTGTCGCATCGACTCTAGCCGAGATCCGGGGATCCTTGGAGTTGGTGAAGAGCGGAGAACTAGACGAGGTATGTACCAATTGCTTCCTATTCAAACATGGACCTCCACCAAGTCAATTGTTATTGAATACTAATTGTCGACAGTGTCTCTATGGTCTTCCGGTCTCCGCCAGCGCTCTGCCTTTCCTCGAGACATTGACCAAGTCCCTGAAAATCATTCTCATGATCGACAGCGAGCAGCAAATTGACCTACTTGAGTCATACGCCTCCAAATCTCCCTCCGTAGCATCATGGCCCGTCTTTATCAAGATCGACGTTGGTTCCAAGCGCGCGGGTCTGGTCAACAACTCACCATCTCTCCCAAAACTGATTCAACGCATTGAATCTTCTTCCGCTGCTAACGTATACGGGTTCTACTGCCATGCCGGCCACTCATACGCGTGTCGTACAGAAGATGCAGCTGCTGCTGTGCTCCACACTGAGGTCGAGGGAGTTGTCGAGGCTGCGAGATTCCTGGTAGATGACAAGTCCGATAGACGGATCGTTGTCTCCGTGGGATCCACTCCCACAGCACATGTGATTAAGAGATTGCAGGGTGTCTTACCACCAGGCATGGAACTGGAATTGCACGCTGGAAATTACCCGTCCAATGATCTCCAGCAGGTCGCGACATCTTTGGTTGAACCGACGCAGCAGGCCGTGCGCATTCTTGCGGATGTCTGCAGCGTCTATCCGGACCGCAATGAGGCACTCATCAACGCAGGCACGATTGCTCTAGCGAAAGAAACAAGTGAGTTCCCTGGGTTTGCGATTGCTGTCGATCGACCCCAGTGGAGTGTTGTGCGGATGGCGCAGGAGCATGGTATTTTGGGTTGGGCGAAGTCAGAACAGACGGACAGACTTGTTGCAAAGACGGGCTCGAAGTCGACTGAGGGTGATCAGGTGGAGACTGCCTTCAAGGTCGGGGATAAAGTTATGCTTTATATCCAACATGCTTGCATCACGGCTGCTATGCATTATGCTTATTACGTTGTTGACGAGCAGGATATTGTCCGGGAGACTTGGGTCCCGTGGAAGGGATGGTGAGTTGGTGACCCTCCAGGGCTCCAAGCTTGCAGATTGTAAAATACTCATAGAACGAATGTCTTCATGTCAACCCTTCCAAGGTTGGAGCTTTTATACATTTATAAGCATATCATCAACGTTGACAAGAATCAATTTTTACAACTTTGAGCATAAACTTGCTAAGCTTCGATTATATATACAGCTGAGCCGACCATCCCTGACCTCTTTTATTCGAAACCTCAAGGGCTTGGATTACTCGAGAATCTAGCGCCCTTTATAAAATTATTTTTACATCAATTTTTTGTGATCATCTTTGAATAATTCAATTCTTAGTATTTACAGATGACACGACAAGGGCATCAAAGCGCAAACCCGCATACTAGCTGATATAACACAAAACGGCCGAAACATCCATCGAACAACCCAGTAGCTTACTGGGTTAGCCCGATGAAGTGGGGGTGACTCCACTTTACGGCCGGCTGGCCCAATGGCAAGGCGCTTGACTACGAATCAAGAGATTGCAGGTTCGATCCCTGCGTCGGTCATCTCTTTTTGCTTCCGTTCGGTATTGATCGGTGCTCAGATGGTGGTGGTGGCATTGGTATACAAGAGGGGTGGATGATGTGGGAGCAGTCCTGGAGGAATAGGGTGTGCGTTCGAATTTTTTTTTACCTCAAGAAATACCAAACTAATCTTCTACTACTTAAGTAGAGAATTGTCACTGAAAATAACCATTGGATTCCGAGAGAGACAGACAGATTCAAGTGAGTCGATGTGTTCTAAAGTTGTAACATTAGAGAACCTTCAGGCCTGGAGGCAACCAAAAGAACAGACTCCAGTCGTTTTATTTATGCAAAAGTATAATGATAGAGGTATACGACGCAGATAGAACCAAATTGCAAAACGTCGCAGGTATCGTAACAAAAATCAACCCCAAGTACCACCGCCACCACCTCGTCCCTGCTTGCGCTGGGCAGAGATACGCCAATCGTCTTCGCCAGCAAAGCGGTTGTGCAAAGGCTGAATGCGTTCCGCCTTCTTGCGCTTCGATAGCTTGTCTGTAGGAGCAACCTTGAAGAACGTCGGGGCGGCCTCGACAAGCCACTTCGGCTCGATAGCCGTGGTACAGTGCATGTACTCCTTCGTGGTCAGAACAAGGGTGTGGTAAATGACGTGCTCGGATGGCTTGCCGAACATTGCGGAGCTGGGATGCATGTAAACGGGTGTTCCTTCCACCAGAGTCTTGTATCCCTCCTGGGGGTCTTTGCGAGCTGCATTGCGGAAGAATCCGGTGCAGAGAGATTGTCGGACTTTCATGGTATCGCGACCACAGGAGACGATGCGGTGCTTGTAGCGGTTCATGATTCCAAGGAGTTGCTTGCGGACATCCTGGGCGCGCTTGATTTGACGTGCCTGAATGAAGTTTTCGAAACACCAGGAATTGTTGAAGTTGGCGTTCTTCCAGCCATTGTAGACATTGAGCAGGGTCAAGTGGTCACCGTGTGGATCGTGGAACTTGGACTTCTTCTGGTCTGCTTGCTGCTGCTTCTCCTTTGGTCGGTAGAAGACAGATTGAATGGACAACATAGCGACAATACTGAGCATTTCATCAGAGCAACCAGAATCTACGGATGCGATGAGCACCTTAGCAAGCGCAGGCTCCATAGGGAAATCGGCCATTTTGCGTCCAAGTCGGGTCAGGAGACCTTCATCATCAAGTGCTGACAGGGCATAGAGCTCCTCGAGTGCCGTCAACATGGTGTTGGTAGGTGGTGGATCCATGAAGTCAAAGTGAAGAAGGTCATTAATACCCATTGCCTTCAACATCAGAATAGTATGTGAGAGGTTCTGACGCTGAATTTCGGGAATGGTTGTTGGGAGCATTTCAGACTGGTAGGCTGCTTCAGTGTACAGTCGGAAGCACTTTCCAGGTCCTGTTCTGCCTGCACGACCAGCTCTCTGCTTGGCTTGTGCCTGTGAGATGGGTGTTACCACAAGAGAATCCATACCAAGTTTCGGGTCGTATGCATTTTGCTTCACGAAGCCAGGATCGATGACGTAGTAAATTTGGTCAATTGTGATCGATGTCTCAGCAATGTTGGTAGCAATGACAACCTTGCGTCCGCCTTCTGGTGCTGGATCGAAAATTCGACTTTGCATCTCACTTGGCAGTGCGGAGTAGACAGGTAGAATGACCAACTCCGGAACAGTCGTTCCTAAAGCTTTCATGCGCTCGAATAGGATCTCACAGGCTGTATCAATCTCCTCTTGACCCGTTAAGAAAACCAAAATATCACCAGCAGGCTCTGTCAAGTGGATTTGCATGACTGTGATAAGTGCAGCATCCAAGTAATCGGATTCGGGCTCCTTTGAATACATGACCTCGACGGGGAACGTTCGGCCGGGAATGGAGAAAATGGGACAGCCATGGAAATATTCAGAGAATTTCTCAGCGTCCAGGGTTGCAGATGTGATGATCAATCTCAGGTCTGTCCGTCGCTTGATTGTCTTTTTCAACAATCCGAACAGAATATCAGTGGCGATGGTTCGCTCGTGAGCCTCGTCAAGCATGATCACAGAATATTTCTTCAGATCTGGATCCAGAAGAATCTCTCTCTGGAGCATTCCATCGGTCATGTACTTGATTTTGGTGTCTGGGCTAGTGCAGTCCTCGAAACGGATAGTGTATCCAACCTCTGCTCCAAGCTTGCAACCCACTTCCTCAGCCACACGCTTGGCCACTGACATCGCAGCGACACGACGAGGTTGGGTACAGCCAATGATTCCATTGTTTCCGTATCCACCCTCAGCAAGATATTGTGTCAACTGCGTGGTTTTTCCGGAACCTGTGTCTCCGACAACAATCATCAACTGATTGTCTCTTACTGCATCCAGCAATTGCTTGCGGAACTTGAAGACGGGCAGACTTTCTCGTTGTTGTTTCATAGACATGGTTGTACGTCTTCCAAAAGTAGCGTTCTTGCCCATCGTCACCCGCTTCCACTCTGGCACCGCGTCATCCTGCTTAGGCTGCTGGGCGCTGCGTAAATCAGCGGCAAATTTTCGCTCCTCGGGCGCAACCATTGGATCCTGCCACTGTGCGTTGAGGTCGACATCTGCAGCCTTTTCAGCCGCCTTATCTTGAGCTTCTTGTTGTTTCAATTCACGTCTCTCCTTAGCAAGGTTGGTACCTGCCATTGCTGAACGGTTCATTGACCCATCGGGAGCCTTGACAACACGGATAGGAGAGAGCTCAAGAGACTGTTTCGTTTGACCAGCCAAGAAAGGAGGTTCCTCGTCCTTGACTTCAATGTCAACATCTTCCTCCTCTTCAAACGTGCCTTCTCCAGTGAGTGTTGCATTATATTCTTCGTCAATGTCGGGGTAGTCTGCTGCGGAAGCAACACCAGATGCAATCAATTGTCTGATCTCCCATCTCTCAGGCGATGTCATGCGCTTTCGATTTCTCATTGGCCGACGGCCTGAGTCTTCAATGACGGGAACATCCGAGGTCAAATTGCCATATCTGTCGTTTGCCTCTGTCCCATCAAGGCGTTCCATATTGGCCCCAGAAGCAAGACGCTTCTGAGGGACCATGTCCATGCCCGTCATCTGGTCCACCTCCTTCATAGACAATCCTATGCGAGTGCCCTGGATGCTAGCCACTTTGACCTTGACCGGTTGCCCGCGAGAGACCAAGTCTGAAGGGTGGTTGACCCGCACTCCCTCCTGCATTGCTGAAACGTGCACAAGGCCATCCACTTTGCCCTTCACGCCCTGCAGATTAACGAAAGCGCCAAAGTCTTTCACTCCTGTCACAGTTCCATCGTAAATTTTGTAAAGGACTGGATGGTCATCCAACTCGATCGGCGGAGGACGGTGGAAGTCATCATCCTCATCCCGATCACGGCGCCTCCGACGATCGCGATCACCATGTCCATTGCGACGGCTGTCACCCCGATCTCCATATCTATCAATTGATCGACCAAACTCGTCCACGAGATCGTCGTTTTTGCCATGCCGCCGGGCACTTCGGGACCTTGATCGCTCGCGATACTTGTCTCTGCGTCGTCCACGGTCATCATCGATGCGCTCGGGGCTGCGACTGCGCTTCTTGGTGTCGCGGTCAGTCCTTGACGGGCGAGAAGTGTCGGGCTTGGCTTTTCCAGCCAACCCCTCCAGCATCGCAAATGTATCATCCATGGCATCCGCGCCAGAGTCCGCGTCGCCTGCGGCTTGTTGATCAACGTAGTCGTCTTCTTCCCAGCGCTTCTCCGTATCGGGGACCGCAAGACCCTTGAACACACGAGACTTTTTCTCTAGAGCCCCCAGCAAGTCCATATCGTCGTCTTCCGCGGAGTTTCCGTTGTCCTCCTTTTTCTGCGATTTGTATTTGGGGTGCATGGTGAGCACCATGCGGTCGATACTCTCCATGAGACTCTGAGGGAACTCGGCGCCCATCTCGTCGAGAGCTTTTGTGAAATCGGGAAAGGAACCATTGCACTTGAGGTGCTGGTCGATGACGAACTCCGCGAGTGTCTTCTCGTTGATACCCAGGTGGTTCTGGAGCTCATTCGTCACTCGCGACACGAGCGACAACAGCTCCAAAGACTCGAGGTCATCCATGCTGGGCTGCGCAACAAAGGATGATTCGAAAAGAGGGCGAGACCGCGCTGAAAGAATTAGCCTTGACGAGCGTGTAAACCGTCGCGGTCTTGGGATCTTCAATGCGGAAAATTAGTGCGGCCGAGCTTTGAGAAGTTGCCACCGATAAGCGCCGATAAGGATGACCATATTTGGCCTGAGGGTTCAGGCACCAATGCATCTACCACTTCCAACCTTCCCTTGGTACCTGACCAACCCTGCGTCACCAAATCTTGAAATCAGATTTAGTTGATCTCCTGCGATAAATGTGTGTTGTATCAAAATAAGTTGGGCTCTCAACTCAAAATGAACGTAAATAGAAACCAGATTCATAGATATGATATATCGCAGGCAGAAGTACAAGAATCACGATACAATCTGAATTATCTAAAATATCTTGATATGATTGGTCTGGGAAGCAGTGCTGATCTAGAGGATATAGATGCTCCTTCCCTAGGTGTTTCCCTCTGGGTAGTTACTTAATTATATAAACAACCCTTGGAAGCTCTGCTCGCGCCCACACTTTTCCTTTGATCTCAGTTTGTTGCCTGGCCCATACAAACAATATGCCGGACACACGAGTCACTCAGGAAGACGTTATTTGAGGCTCTTCTAGATCGGCTGGAGGCATACTCCTGATTTTGATTGTGGCGGCAACCGTCACAGCTGGTGATCGGCTAATGGTCGACGGAGGTTTGTCCTCCAACATACCGCCAGATACGTTTACCAGCCTATGGGAGCAAATGGACTTGTTTCATAGTGTGACTGCAACTCTGTGGCGAAAATCGAGAACAGCTTTGTTTCGCACCATGCCGGGTGAACAACATGAGTGTCCCGCTGCTGTCTTTCATACCGCCCTGGTTGAGCTATTATTTGGGATGGGTCTGTCGACATTCAAGGATGATTTTACACCTACGGGTACTGCGGCGGCGAACCTTCGTTCCAGTTGCTATTAGGAAGACACTGGATGTCAACATGTGATCTGACAGGCAATTATCGAGATGGAACGTATACTTATCGCGACGATCAAGGAACAGTCAGAAGTATGGCCAGAAGTGATCCAAGAGAGACGTGTGTGTGTATACTATGACATCCCCAAGAATACTAGATACTGCCACCTGGCTGGATTCTGGGATGTCACAGAAGTCAAAGCAGCCCACCTTGTACCAAAGAGCCTGCGCAGTGATGAAATCGCCCACTTGTTTGGCGTGGGGGCTATGGTGGTAAGCTATATCTATTTTCTTGTGTTGAGTTGTGTGGCACACTCATGACGGGTCTATAGGTTTTTCACGAGCACGAACGGATGTCTCTTGCTTTGAATATGGCTATTTTGGAGGCCTTGGGTCCGATGGGCCTCAAAAAATCAATCTATCTCTACGGCGGCACCACGCTTACTGTGGCCAACGGGTCCAAGGAACCAGATGGGGCGTGCGTGATAAAGCAAAGCGAGACGACCATCCTCAAAGTGCCATGGCCTACTATATCTCTTCTCAATAGATCTCTGCCTATGCCTCTCCCTCTGAATGGGCCACGGTTGTCCTTGAAACTCAATTCCTGTACACAATCACCACCTCGCTATCTGGCTTGGAGTCAGCCCACATACGATTGACGAATGCGATTGCCGTCAAGCCGCATTCATCGCATTATTTGAGCCAGTTGCCATTCGTCATACAAGTTTTCCTACATGCGCCATGAAACAGAGAAGGCCAACCGCACGCAGTGGTTGGAAAAAAGTGTTCATTCTTGGAAATGCCGATCACACAGTGCATTTTGGCTATCTGCTGGGCAGTAGAAAAAGAGATAGAGCTCGGAAAGAGAGAAGCAAAGGAGCTGAGACTATCCACTACTTCTTTTTGCATACATCTATAATGGCACCACGAAAGTGCACTACCATTGTTTCTGTTCGACATTCCCCTCCCTCTGGTGCCAGTCACAGCACCACATTTACCACCGTCGTCTGCACAGGACTGAGCGACATAGCCGTTTATGCGATCGTATTCGGCGTGATCTCTGTCCTGCTGGTGATATTGGTCATTGGCCTTGTCTGTTGGAAGATAAGGCACAAGGCGTAAGTCAATATAAGAGCAAGCAAACGGTCACCTTCAGGGCTGACCCTGGTGAACCAACAATGATCAAGAGTGTGAGTGAAACAGCCACACGCATTGTGCAATGGTTCACTGACTGAGTTCGCCTCCAGCTGAAAACCGGAGAGAATCCACACCTTGATGTCCTGTGGCAAGAGGGAGGAGGGGGGAGGACAAGAGAAGGTTGGTTTATCTGCATATGCCAGGCCAACCTCGACAATTTCTGTTTTCACCTTTCCCACACCCATAAAAAAACTGTTCGTTCCACTTTTCAAAATGAAGCTGGGACCTGTTCTGTCGACGCGCAGCCCTGTCTGATTCGATTCCCCTCCACACAGGGCCAACCCCAATCCATTCTCCAGGAGCTCTACCCCGAACTATCTGCTTGGGCAGTCTGACCTCGGGATCGTTTGATCTCTCGATAAACAGATGGTACTTGGGCACCCGATACCTCTGCTATTGTCGCTTGTTCCAACCATAGCGACAGCAGGCCATGTGCTTCCAGCGCTTGATGCTGGAGAGCGACAGTATATGTTTGATGCCAGCATGCGTTCCCTAAAAGGTCTGAGCCGGTTAGTGTTGTACTCTGTTCTGCAAGAAAACAACCTTGGAAGGTTGCCATGGGGCTTGTGTCAGTTATGTTGAAAGGCCCGGAGCCTTGGAGTGGCGTGGCTTCACGAGAGACGCGACGGAGGCATTTCGACAAGCGAATATCACTCGTGATCAAAAGAAGGTTTTCGATACGACTCCATTGTTATTTTGTTTCTGTCTCTTATGTATTACCACTGTACTTTGGATGAACAATCCTACTTAATTATTATTACTAGCTGAAGCTAAACGCGTTGGGTTCCCATCAGCTTGGCATTTGTTTATTAAAGATTATATCTAGAAATCTTGATCATCAAATTTGCCCATATGGAACTTCCAAGGTTGAGAAGAGATTGTTCAAGAGACAGAGAAAAAGAGAAGGATAAGATTTTCCACGGGGGTATTAAACCATGCAAGGGCATAGTATACTGGAACGTAGTGAAATTCGAGAAAGAGTCTACTGCTCAAGTCCGGAAAGCAGTAGAATTCCTGCAGGAGCCCTGGAGGTTAGGCCGCTGTGTACTGCAGTACACTTCAGGACTTCAGGAGTGCTCAGGGCTTCCAAGTTTAACACTCTAGATATCGATACTCAGGCATTAAGGCAAATTTTGAATGAGATTTAAAGAATTGGTGAAATTGGCTTTTGTACATCTATTATACAGATTGTTGTTACATATTATTCCTTTTTGTCGGTCTCTGAATCATACCACGAATTTTCCAACGGCGATTCCGCTTCAGCAGAGGAAGATTCAGTTTCAGATGGTGAGCCTTGCGAATCAGAGGTTTCCACCCTGGAGAGCTCGTCCTGGGAGAGTTCAGAAGGTTCAGCAGATGACTCCCCCAAAGATTCCTCCTCCGAGGCCCCTTCCTCAGACATATTGGCTTGTGCCTGTTCCGCCTGGACGCTCCAGTCTTCCGAAGCAACTCCCATGCGTTGCTGCTCGAGCAATTGTTTCTGCAGAGCAATCTGGCGCTTGAGAGAAGAGCCCTTTCGCAATCTCTTATTAGCAGAGAATTCGGTCAGGGCACGAACCATTCTTTCTTCAACAAGCTCCTTCACGTGACTGGCCAGTGTTCGGTTTGTGAAAACACCACCAAATCGGAAACTGAGCCACAAGTAAAGAATGACGGCCTTGTGAAGACTTTCCAATTCATGCATGTAGTCGTTGCTGCCAGATACAGGCTGCTCGAGGACTTCAAGGTTAAGATGAGGGATGTCCAGAAGGAGACCTTCCTCATGATAGGAGACACAGTCAGCTAACGCGCCAGTGACATCACGAGATCTTGCGTTTTTAACATCCATGGGGGAAACCATGAATTTCAACTGGTCCTCGATTGGCAAGCCTTGCACTGTATCGACAATTTCTGCGTTCTCCAACTGACCCTTGGGGTCACACATGAAGAACAGTGGGCCGACCTGGGCGATTTCTAGCGTACGCTTGACCAAATACTCAAAAGGTACACCAGGCGGGAAGTAGGCAGCAAATTTCCGGAAAACGGAATCTGGAGGCATAATTCCCGCTGCGGTCAGAGGAGGGGGCTCTATTTTCATGGCCTGTTGAATAAACGGAATGTCGACTTCTTCAAGACAAGTGATCAAGCCCACGTTGGGCTCTTCCTCCTGGCCTTCCTTCGTCTTAACGTTGGCTGGGCGATAACGGCCAGCACGCCCACCGATTTGCTTGATTTCAGGCACAGTGAGACGTTGCAGTCCATCCTGGCCACGCTTGACCAAAGTATCGAAGATGACACGCTTGCAACTCCTATAGAGGGGTTAGTATGTACAAGTCAATTAGGCCGGGAGGAACTCACAAATTCAGACCCATTCCAATGGCATCACTGGCAACTAGGAAGTCGTAGTCATTGTCTGGGTCGTTGAACAGGTTGGCTTGCTGGGTTCGGATCTCTGCGGGCAGACCACCGTAAACGATAGCCGCACGTCTTCCCGTCGACTTCTCGATGTCTGCCTTCATGGCGTGAATACCTTTCCGAGAGAAAACCACAACACAGTCTCCTTTTTGGAGCTCCATCAGGTTCCCCTTCAAACTATGCGGCATGACCTCTAGCGAGTTGAGTCTTTCGTAACGGTGTATCTCCAATTTGTCTCCTGTGAGCGCGCACAGTTCTCTGATCAATGGCACTGTCCGAGTTTCTCCACAAAGATGCAGCTCGGCAGCCTGGCATCCAAGGAACGCTCTTGTCCAAGCCCATCCTCGTGAGGGGTTGGAGATCATCTGGATCTCATCGATGACTCCAACATCGTATTCCTGACCGAGACTGACCATTTCCACCGTGTTGCTGACAATACGCGGAACTTCATTGTTCTCCGGGGCTTTGACATCGTCTCCAGTCACTAGACTGACTGGGACGCCCTCTGCCTTAAATCTGTGGTATACTTCTTGTGCAAGGAGTCTGAGCGGGCCTGCGTAGAACCCGTTTTTGCTGTTCCGTAGCCGTTGCAAAGCGTGATATGTCTTTCCAGAATTCGTCGGTCCGACGTGGAGATGAATTGTTCGCTGCGCCGATCGTGCTCGCGGGTACCACTCGGCTGGATATCGAAGGTCGGTAATCTGCTTCTGCGCCTCCAACAGTGGCGCCGAATACTTGCGCGTGAGGTTTTCTGCGTGCAGCAAATATTCCAACTCCTCTCGAAGACCTTGCGCACCGTTAGAAAAATATGCTCTCTGCAAAGACGTTTTCGTTTGATGGAGAGAGCCGCCGGTCTTCGAAGATTTCTTGTCATCTGCTTTGCAAGAAATCAAAACCTGACGCTCGAACGTTGTCCATCCCTCCAATTCGTTTTTGTTTCGGCTCGCCTTCTTTTTCACATCGCGCAATGCTGCCTCGACTAATTGGGTGAAATCTCGTGCGGCCGCAATGTCTTTTCGAATAGCCCTCGCATCCGGTATCTGTGTTGCTGTCTAAACAAAAACGTTAGATTGATACAACGGTGCCAAATAACACGTAGCGAACCTTTTTCTTTGTCTTCTTGTCTGTCACCGGAGGCTCTTTTGATTTTCTCGATCGTTGGAGAATGGAGCTTGTCGTAAATGGCCGTACGGCAAAGCAGGTCAAGGGTCGCAGGGCGCTGAGGGAACTACCTCGGCCGGTCCATGGCTGCATTCCTGGACCGAGGACACCAGTCCGGGGATTGGATTTGTATACAAGGGGAATTGGGAGGTGGAAAGAGGTGAAACGTTGAAGCGTCCAAAAAGTGTCGCGGAAACAAAGGAGAGAAAGGCGGAAACCCAAAAAGTTGCTTATCGATATCCACCTAGCTCCAATGGTGGGGAAACACCCTCCTTCATATACCTCAGACGAGCCACCTTTCGACTCTCGCAACTCCTTTTAAATTCACTCTCCTTTGCTATACTCATCACCGTCGAACTACTCATCCTCGGTGTGAAAACAAGCCTTGGGCTGCCCGCCAGCATGGGCTCCTCCATAATTAACATCCAACGCGATAGTGGGTGACCTCCTGACCTCCTGTTGGAGCTCCAGCTAATCTATACCCTTCTCACATAGTCATATTGAACACCATTCGCAATGCCGGTGGCCACGATGTAAGCCCGACCCATCCGATTGACCACAACGGCAGGATACTGACGGCGCTCCTTAACAGTGGAAAGTCCTTGTGTTGGACGAGACCAGTCGGAAATTAGTGGAAGGCGCTGTGAAGGAAGAAGAAATCCTTAACCTCAATGTCTCAAGTGAGCGCACCTGGTGCTTTGCGATCCTCGAACAGATAAACTAAACACCGTCACCCGCAGACGTCGAGCAACTCGAAGACAAACGGCCGTTCAATGCCGACATGGACGCGCTTTACATCCTGTCCCCTGAATCATATGTGGTCGACTGCTTGATGGCAGACTTTGAGGTGGGACGATACAGAAAGTCGTTCTTGGTGTGGACTTCATGTTAGTGTGCTGGGAACCCGAGGCATTCGCAACGTCATTTGGCTGATACAGTACGCAGTCCTCGATCCGCAACAACGAGCTCGAATTGATCGGTCCTCAATGGCGCGTGAACGTATTGCAGAGTTCCACGTTATGAACATCAATTTCTACCCCAGAGAATCGCGCTTGATCACATTCCGCGATCCATGGAGCTTCCCGGTGCTCTTCCACCCCGGTTGCAACAATTTGATTCGGCAACACCTGGAAGACCTGGCGCAAAAGGTGAGCAACTTTATCTCAAGGCTCATACGCTGCATATTCTAAGCTGCAACTAGGTGGTTTCCCTTTGTGCTTCGTTGGGCGAATATCCTGTGATCCGGTACTACCGGCCCCGATCTCCCACCCACGAGGCTGGCGTGATGTGCTCCCATTTGGCGCGCTTTATCCAAAACGAAATGGATCAGTTCGCGCAGTTCCAAAGGGACTTTCCACCCCAGACAAACCGTCCTCGGGGCGTGCTACTCGTTGTAGACCGTTCTATGGACTTGTTTGCCCCCCTTATTCACGAATTTACCTACCAAGCCATGGTTCATGACTTGCTGCCTGTGAATGATGGCGACAAGGTAACCTACAAGACTGTCGTAAATGAAGGCAGCAAGAATGAGGAAGTCAAGGAAATGGAAATCGGAGAAGATGACAAAATTTGGGTTGATTACCGTCATATGCATATGAAAGATCTACTTGGGAAACTGGGCGAAGACTTCGCCAAGTTCCGAGCAGCAAATCCTCAATTTGCAGACGAGTGAGTTCTGATTCTCTGGTGGCATATAAACCTGGTGACTGACAGACCTCGCAGTAATGACAAACAAAACGTGAACACCATCAAGGATATGTTGGCTGGACTGACAGAATTCCAAGAAGGGAAAAACGCATACACATTGCACCTGAACATGGCGCAAGAATGTATGAAATACTTCCAGGCCCACAAGCTCTTGGAAGTGAGCTCTATTGAGCAGTCATTCGCCACAGGTCTGGATGAAAACTATAAGAAGGCAAAGAACCTTGCGGCGCAACTTGTGCAACTCCTGGACGACGACTCAGTTGTGCCTCCAGATCGTCTTCGACTGCTACTGCTCTACATCATCTACCGTGGCGGGCTTCTCGGTGGTGATATCCGCAAACTCATGGCGCACGCGAACCTCCCATCAAAAGATGGTGAGGTGATTGCCAACCTGGAACTCCTTGGTGTCCGCGTAGAGAAGCCATTGAAGGACGAAAAGCCACCTGTGCAGCCTCTCTTCAACCGTCGCGCACCACCACCCGAGTCTGAAGAGCTCAGCCTGAGCCGGTACGAGCTCGCAGTGAAGCAAATGCTCGAAGAGCAAATCCAAGGCACCCTGGACCCCACCTCTTTCCCCTTCACGCGACCACACACAGAAACAGATGGTGCTCTAGCTGCCCAAGAGATGCAATCCCAGCAGGCCTCTCTGCGCAGCGCAAAGCCAACGTGGGCCCGCACAAGATCGGTCGACCAACCGCGACAGCGTCTCATCGTCTTCATGGCCGGTGGAGCCACCTACGGCGAGTCTCGCGCCTGCTACGAAGTCGCGGCATCATACAACCGAGATGTCTACCTTGCCACAACACACATGCTGACACCAGGTCTGTTCCTCCGCCAGGTCGGTGATCTGGGCATGGATAGACGTCGTTTGAACCTCCCATCCGAGCGTCCCAAGCCCACTGCCCCAGCGCATCTCTTTGAGCGCGAAAAGCCACCCTCTCCAGCTGCTCCACCACCACAGAAGAAACCCGTCTCGACGGCCCATCTCAACCCGCCAGCTCCGCCAGAGGCACTGATGGCTGGCATGTCAGTCAGCTCGAATGGAAGCGGAAGCAACTATTCATCTGGCAGCGGGAAACCCGACAAGCACGCCAAGCCTGACAAGCACGAAAAGAAAGACAAGGAAAAGAAGGAGAAGAAAGAAAAGAAGTATCGATTTTTCAAGTAGTTTCTTCCCTCTTCAATGCATTGGCCGGTCTCCTGCTGTCCCTATCCAGCGCTTTTGTGATACCATACTTTTCCTTGTCTTTTGTCGGTTGGTTTGGTCTGGTCCCGAGCATTCAAGGCGCTTTTGTTGACGGTTCATCTCTTTAGTCGAAGATTCAATGCAATGCAGTCTATTCCTTATGTAACTCTATTGGTTTATTTCTCTGCCGGCGGCTTTTCTACCTCAGATGGCGTCACTTCTACGAAGTCGCTTTAAACAGCCATCACTAATCTTTTTCATTAATGTGAATTGCAGAATTCAGTGAATCATCGAGTCTTTGAACGCACATTGCGCCCTCTGGCCCTGGAGGCGGGATACCGAAACGTTGAGATGATTAGTGAAAGCTACCTCAGTACAGGACTACTTGAGTAATCATTGACCGTTTACTGCAAATTTATAATTTTGCTTACAATTTTTCTCGCTGAATCATCTAGGGCTTCACTTTCTAACCTTCCGAGGTCATAAGCACCAGGTGCTGACCATGGATCCAGCTATACCTCAAGCAGACTAACATATTTATTTGAGGACCGCGCAGCCCTGGAGGTTTCCAAATTCATCTCTCAAAGTCTTCAACTTTTATAAAATCTTAATCACCATGGCTCCCACTCTTGATGTCACCCACATTGGCCCCGCCACTGCCATCCTCGAGATCAACTGTGAGAATCGGGGGGTTGGGTGCCTGGGGAATAAGGCATCCACACCGAACCTGGGAACCCAACCCTCCCAAATTCCCCTAGTAGCTCTCTTCTCTTCCTTCTTCCTCTAGTTTTAGTCTCCTTAGTGAATGGACCTTCTTTTAGGGAGCTGCCGCCTCACATCAACGGCATTAACTTCCTGACGGATCCCTTCTTTTCTCCCGCCGGTACCTCTTGGGATGTGGGCCGTGTCATTCTCAAGGTGACAGAAGACCCTAGTCTCCGCCTTGACCAGATTCCCATCATCGATGCCGTGCTGCTGAGCCACGAAGATCACCCGGACAATCTAGACCAGCTCGGCCGCCAACTCCTGGACGGCCGTCGTGTCTTTACTACCGTTGACGGAGCAAAGAACCTCGCACCCCGTCCTGCTGTGCATGGTATGAAGCCATGGGAAGAGAAAGAAAGCATCATTGCTGGCAAGAAGTTCAAAATCGTGGCCACACCAACCCAGCATGTTCCCGGAGATGAATGCACTGGTTTCATCGTGACTGGAGAGGGCTTCGGACATGGCCGTGATGGTCTCCCTAATGCAATCTACTTCTCTGGTGACACTGTCTACATCGAAGAACTGAACTCTATCGCCGACCAATACCATATTTGTGCTGCTGTCATGAACCTTGGCAATGCTCATGCCCCAACCACAGAGGACCCCAACGGCCCTCGTATGCAAATTACAATGGGAGGAAAGGATGGAGCTAAGCTGTTCCGTGCCCTCAAGGCCGATGTTCTTGTTCCTATGCACTACGAATCTTGGGGACATTTCACCCAATTCGGGGCCGAGCTGCGCCAGGCTTTTGAAGAAGAGGGTATTAGTGACAAGATTTGTTGGTTGAAATCAGGCGAGAAGGTCACTGTTCTTTAGATTCTTTTGTGGGTTTTTGAGGGGGTTCTTTTGCTATATATCTATTTCCTTTCTCAGCCTCAAAATTGATTGTTAGAAATTAGACAGTAATGACTTATCACATTGCATCCATGCTCTCTCTATTTTCGAAGAGTATAGAAGGGACATCTGATCATCGTAGCACCTACTCTAGAGTAGTACTAGTATCTATACCGTAGTATTAGAAGTAATCCGAGGTAATAGTATCAGAGTATGTGAAAAGTACTTAATGGGTATCACAACAGCTAGTCTCAGCATTCACGCATCCTCCCCGAGGTACTTCAAAATCCGTTCATCCTGATTAAAGACCTTCCTCATCCTCTCAGCCCTATTCCTATCCTCTTCAAACTTCTTCCTAACCTGCTTAGCATTCAGCTTCTGCACCTTAGGCGGAGGCGGCTTCTTAGGCAACGGATCCCCATCTTTATCAAGCCCCGTCCCCAAAGCAGCAGTATCGAATTTCATACTCGCCTTGATTGGTTCGCGAATACCTTCGCGACCTGATGCGCCAAGACCTAATCGCTCATCGGGGTTCCAACCTTGGTTCGCGAGGTAGCGGAAGCCTGTCCGGGTGCGGTCTATGTGGGATGGTGGATGCGAGTGCTCTAAACAGACTTGGTGCGCGAGGGAGGCTTCGTGTGGGGTTTCTGGGTTGGTTCCGAGTGGTAACTTGCATACAGTGCAGAGCTCTGGAACTTCTGGGTTTGGGGGTGGGGTGGCTTCTGCTGATGCTGGGGCTGATTGTATTGCCCGAGCTGGTGGGGATTGACATGTAGGTGTGTTTGGTGATGTGTTTGGTGCTGTTTTCATGACAATCGAGAGGTAGGCATCTGCGACATTTCGGCCGGAGGATGTAGATCGTGTTGTGGTTGTGTCTAGGTTGGAGGAGCGCACAAACGGCACAGGCTTTCGACGGATGCCGGATGTGAAGGGTCGCTGTGTCTCCGGAGGCAGAGAGTAGTCCTCATCGTCGTATTCATGTTCTGATGCCATGGCGAGAGAGCTGCGCAAAAGGAAAACAGTGGGAAGTGGCGATAAGAGATAGGCGGAGATAGCGTACGTGTACTCCGAACCTTGGAAAATAATCCCTGTGGACAGCTTCTTCTTTCCACACAACTTCGCTATGCCCATTCCCATCATCGCCACTGGCCTACGGGAAGGAATTGATGCCATTCCCTATGCCTGGTCTATCCTCCGTGTTGCGCCATGGCTGCTGGCCTTCGCTGCGCTGAAGTACTACTTCGAAGGAGCCCGCAACACCTCCGAGCGCATGATGCGTTCGAAAGTCATAATGGTGACAGTAAGTCAATTGACCACTCCAAACCAGCCAACCCAACTAACAATCCAGGGGGGCACATCAGGAATAGGAGCCGAAGTAGTCCGCGAACTAGCCACACGAGGCGCGCAAGTCGTCCTCCTAACCCGCCAACCACCCTCCGACATCTTCCTCTCAGAATACATCGACGATCTCCGCACCTCAACAAACAACCAACTCATCTACGCAGAAGAAGTAGACCTCTCCTCCCTCCACTCAATCCGCACCTTCGCCACAAAATGGATCGACAACATCCCACCCCGCAGACTCGACTGTATCATCCTAGCAGGCGGCACAGCAGAACCATCCGGCCCCCGCCCCCTCACCATAGACGGCATTGACCCAGAATGGCAAACAAACTACCTATCCAACTTCCACCTCCTCAGCATCCTGAGTCCAGCTCTGCGCGCTCAACCTGCACACCGTGACGTCCGCGTCATCTTCACTTCCTGCTCCAGCTATATCGGTGCGGATTTCAGTTCCCTGGAGACAATGACTCGAGGTAAACAAGTTCAAACTTCAAAGCGCACTAGTACAAAGCCTGCTCTCTACGCTAGACCCAAGGGTGTCTATGGACTGAGTAAGCTTTGTTTGACTATCTTTGCGCATTCGTTCCAGCGCCATTTGAATGCCTATAAACGCCCGGATGGTCTGCCGCCTTGTACGCGTGTGATTGTCGTTGATCCAGGCGTGACCCGGACACCGGGTATGAGGCGGTGGTTGACGGGTGGGTCGTTGTGGGGATTGGCGCTGTATTTGATTACTTGGCCTGTTTGGTGGTTGATTTTCAAATCGCCATCGCAGGGTGCGCAGAGTATCCTGTACGCGGCTATGGAGGCGCAGTATGGACGTGGTGAAGGTGGTTGGTTGGTGAAGGAGTGTCGGGAGATGGACTATGCGCGGACGGATGTTTCGAATGATGAGGCTGGAAAGAAGCTTTGGGAGTTTAGTGGGAAGATGGTTGAGGAGGCGGAGAAGGAGGGTGCTGTTGTTAGAGCGCTGGAGAAGAAGGAAGTTGAGGCTGAGAAGGCCGAGCAGGAGAAGAAAGAGAAGAAAGAGCAGGCTGGGAAGAAGACTGATGGATCGAGGAGGAGTCGGAAGGGCCAGAATAAGTAGAATTAGCATTGCATTACTATACTTCGCATAGACTAGAGGTTCTTGGAATAATCCATAGAACAGCATGTGAGAAGAAAAAGGTTCTCAGAAAAAGGAAATTCGTTTCATATTCTAGCACTAATTCGGAAGATATCTCTATATTAACAGGCCTGTATCATTTCAGCCCGTCGATTTACTTCTGGAGCTTAGCGAGGAGCTCAGCAGGGGGCTGCTGGCGGTAGCCCTGGGGGTTGTTCTCAGTCCAGAGCCAAAGGTCCTCGCAAGCCTGCTCGAGAGTGCGCTCAGCCTTCCAGCCCAGCTCGGTGTTGGCACGAGTGGGGTTGGCAGTGAGGTTCAGGACGTCACCGGCACGACGGGGAGCAACCTCGTAGGGCTGGTCCTTGCCGACGGCAGCGGAGAAGGCGCGGATCATCTCGTAGACGGTGCTGCCCTTGCCGGTACCCAAGTTCCAGGCGCGCACACCGGGGTTGTTGGCGCGCAGGTAGTTGAGAGCCTTCAGGTGGCCGTCTGCGAGATCCAGAATGTGGATGTAGTCGCGGATGGCGGTACCATCGTGAGAAGCGTAGTCTGCATATGTTAGATTGGGCATGTGGATATATATGGGAATAGAACATACCGTCACCGAAGACCATGAGCTTCTCGCGCTTGCCAGTGGCGACCTGCGCGAGGAGGGGGAGCAGGTTGTAGGGGACACCCTGGGGGTCCTCGCCCATAATACCACTGGGGTGAGCACCGGCGGGGTTGAAGTAACGGAGGAGAGCACCGTTCCACTTCTTGGCCTCGGCCTCGTTGCCGGCCTTGGTAGCGTTGTTGCGCTGAGCGTTGATCACGTCGGTGATGGCGGTCTCAACGGCGAACTTGGTGTTACCGTAAGGGTTGGTGGGGCCCAGAGGGCAGTCCTCAGGGATGGGGATCATGTTGGGGAAGCGGGTGGCATCGCCGTACACGGTGGCGGAGCTGGAGAAGACAATGTTGGTCACATTGTGCTTCACCATGGAGCGGAGGAGGTTGATGGTGCCGTAGACGTTAACCAGGTAGTAGTCCAGGGGCTTTTCGCCAGATTCACCAACGGCCTTTTGTTTCCATTCCGTCAGCTTGGGTCCATTCGATTAGTTCATCGGTATGTCTCACCTTCAGCGCAGCGAAGTGGATAACGCTGTCAATGTCGGGGTGGGCCTCGAACACCTTGTCAAAGGAGTTCTCCTCGGTGACATCGAGTTGAATGAACTCAGCCTTCTTGCCGGAAATCAGCTCAATACGCTTGAGAGCCTCAGGCGAGGAGTTGTACAGGTTGTCAGCGACAACCACCTTGTAACCGGCCTCGAGGAGGGCAAGGGTGGTGAACGAGCCAATGTAGCCCGTGCCACTGGAGATAATTAGTGAGTGTAATTGCAATCCGACCGAAGTGACCTACCCAGCAACAAGAACTGAACCAGCAGACATGATGAGTAGATAGAGAGAGGTATGGGGAAGTCAAAAGCGGGCGAGGGGCAGCTTTTAAGGGGAAAATGGTGGGGTGGCCCTTCTACTCTTATGACGCGGCCCTGCTCATCTTCACCTTCTCATCTTAATTTCATCTTAATTTTTGCTTCATCTACTGTCGATCGTGCCATATAAGTTATTTACCCCTGACCAATTGACTGTGACTAGTAGGCCCTGTTTATTTACGAGTAGTTTCGCTGATTGTTTACTCCGTACCTGTTTACTTCGAAAGTTAATTGCTTCCCAAAGTATACTCTTGAATGCACTTCTGTTTTCATCAAAAACTTTAGAAATGCGCAAGAAATGCGCAATTAGATGCAACCACAACCTATTCGTACATGCATTGGGAAAATGTCCGAAGCCGCATACATCGTGCGATCTGGCCTGAGCTGCCGCATTTGGGCCCACGTTCAGGGTCCAGAGCCGTTCCCGGGGTCTCGGCAACGGGCCACTTCGGCTCTTTGGCAGTTATGTACTTAGAACATTCACCCGAAAATAAATTGGAACATTTGAACAGGTGAAATTGGTATTGAAATAATAAAAAAAAAAGGTTCCTGCAGATGTTAAGAACCTGGGCCTATATCCCCTTCTAATCATTTATCATGAGTCCCCATTACTCGTGTAGATGTAGACGGCGAATGGCAGTGATGTACAGACTCAATGTCTAGCCCATTTGGTGCTAGAGGTGAGGTCTGAAGTCGGCGGAAATGCTCGCAAAACGGGGCCGGACCCGCAACGAGAACTGCTATCCGAGACTGAAATCTGAAATCAAGATTACCCACATAACGGGCGTTATTTAACCGAGGAGTTCAACGTCCAGACCAATGGCACGCATGAACAGGTTGACATTACTCAAGCGCTGACTGCCCATATCGGCTGGGAGGGTCTTGCTGTAACCCACGGTTTCCATCACGCGATCCCTGTAAACAAGAGTTAGTGTTATAGTTCGAGATCATGAAGCGCAATGGATAGAAAAATTTCAAAAAAAAAAGGGGGGAGGAAAACTTACTTAACGGCAATCACCAAGCGCTGCTGCTGCTCGGGACTGGCACCAATACCGACAGCGGCAAGGAACTGCCAAACGTACATATCGTCACCGGAGCTAATGGTTCCGGGGAAGGTGTCGTTCAAGCCAGGTTCCAAAGTATCGAAGAGAACATTAAACTTCTCCACCCACTGCTGCCAATCGTGTTCGGAAGCTTGGCCAGCCTCCTTGACAATTTCGGCACGGCTGAGCAGCATTGTCAAGATGCCCAGACCAACCTTAGTTCGGGCTACAGTCTGCACATGAGTTTGGTTGATAACCAATCCAAGCAGACCAATGATGATGTTGAACGGCGCCTCGTTCACGTAGCCTAGAAGGCAGGGCATGACGGCCAATGAGAACAAATCAATAGCCTCGCGCATGCCGAGCGATGGTTGAGCCTCACCTGGCACGGGCTGGGCAAGGCGAACCACATCCAGGCTGTCGAGGTGAACGACAATCATGGTAAGAATGGTGACTCGCTGTTCCTGGTCGATGTGACGGAAGATGCGAGGAATAGCCTTCTTACCCTTAGGGTATGAGAGAAATGCGATGAAGGGGTGGGGTGTCGTCGAGTTGGGAACAATGGGCTCCATCACTTTCAGTGAACGCCACAGCTTTTGGTTAAGAGAGTGAAGTTTCTGTCGCCATTCCATATGTTCTTGGATGGCCTCAGCGTCGCCCTCCTCCGGGGGTGGGGGCATCGTCCGTTCCATATCTTCCATTGCCATCAATGCACTGTATACATGCTCAACGTTGGTAAGGATCGACTTGCGATCACTAAGGCTGAGGCTAGACTGAAGCTTCTTGGGTTTCGGGCCATCTGCACTGTCCGGACGCTTGATGTTCAACATCGGCTTGGGCGCCTTAGCGTTGCTGAAGGCAATCTTGCCCAGACTGCCTTCGATGATAAGCTGCTTGTTCTTGGGCTTAGCCTTGGCCGCTTCCACGGCGCGCTGAACCTGTTGCTGCATGCGCTGCATGTGGTTGTCGGCGCTTTGGAAGTTACCACGGCGATGCCCGCCGAGTCGGTTGCCCGTTTGGAGGAGGTAGGTCTGCGCGAAGTGTCCGAGCGGTTGGTGGGGGTGTTGGCGCGGCGCGCCACGAATCTGGCTGCACACCTGGTAATAGAAATCTTCGGCCAGAACGGCTTCTGGATCCGAATCTGCTATACTTCCCGCTGCTGCGACAAGCTGCTGTAGCTGAATACGAGTGATGAAATTTTTATCTTGAGGAGTCATCAAGCCATTGCCGCGGGACAAGAGGAAGATCTTGTGGTTGCGCTTCGCCCGCTTGGCATCCTCCATCAGATAAGCATTTCGCTGCTCGGGGGTGAGATGCGCGAGCTGCTGCGGGTCGGTGATGACAGGCATTCCATTGTTAGAAACCCGGTTTGGCGGCAGCTGCTGGTGCTGTGGAGGCTGCTGGGGAGGGCGTTGAACCTGGGGGCCGGTGGGGCGCGGGCCAGGAGGTGGCATGTTCTGCGGAGGAGCATTGATGTTTTGCGCCATGTGCAGTGGTCCACCCGGTGGCATAATGCCTGGCCCACCATAGAGCTCTGGCATACCAGGTGGTGGGTGGGCCATCTGAGGGAGGTGACCTTGTCTCAGCTGCGCCTGCAAGAACTCTGGGTGGACAGGTGGGTACCCATCGGGAATTGCCTGAAGGTGCTGGGGTTGTGGGTGATACTGGGGCTCGACCATAGATCTAAGGAAGGCATCTCCTGCTGGTGGCACTGCGTGACTGCTGTGACGCATTTGCGCTTCCACCTCCTCCAAGCTCATCATTTTCCGACTGGTGGGAGTAGGCTCGGGCTTCTTCTGCGACACTCCCCAAACGCTGGACTTGGCTTGCAAGTCCGGAATATATCCTGGCTCCGAGTACTTCTCATAGCCAGAGCGCTTAACCTGGGGGGCGGGCTGCTGGACGGGTTGAGCCACCGGCTGGGCTACACGGGGAGCATTGGGATTTTGCAGACTATAGCGAACCTGCTCCTCGCCAATCGCATCCGAAACCTGAGCAGTCTTCCCAAAGAAATCGAAGTCTCTTCCGGATGATTCGGGCCCGGGTCCACCAAACGTGTCATCGTTGAACTCGTCCTGGTCATCGTCGAGCTGGTCACCGAGACCATCGTAGGTATCCTCAAAGTCAATCCTGAACACAATCCCGTATAAGCTCCACAATTCCATAACCAACAGGGGGGGGGGTGAGCTCACGCGTCATCATCGAGCGCACTAGCTTGAGCGACTTGCGCAAAGGGATCTGGGGTCTCGAAGAACCCCCTAGGCCCGGAACCATCGCGGTCCCTAGGTAGGGTAGTATCAAAGCCAAAGAAAGCCATCTTTGGCCTAGATAGTCAAAGATGGGAGAGTGGGGAGGGGATAGGAACTTGGTGGGGGGAGAGGAAAGGCTGGTCGGGACGAAGTTCTGGGAAATGTGGCGGCCTCAGGCCACCGCCAAGCCATGTCGATCGCGCAAAGCAACGTTGACACGTTAAATATGGACATTTTGTATAGATCTAGAGAATTCTTCGGAGTTTACGGCTTGAAATGAGGTGGTGGTCATATTGGACTACGTGGTTTGGACAAAGACCTCATATTTAGGCTGCCTCACAATGCCAATGTACTCGACAGAGCATTATACACGTATGCATCAGCATGGGGGCAGAACATTGGCTTTGATGTTTACTGCGGATCACTTCTGGAAATTGCAATGGAACTGAAAGGATCTCTGTCTACTGAGAACCCACGAGGAAACAGAGAACCGATTCCCCTGAAGCATCGGAATGTCTTAAATTAGGTGACACTCAAGTGGCTGAAAGCGGTTGTCATAGTCTTGCGCGGCCACTTTTCCTTTTCACCTCTTCCTCTCCCCCTAATACTCGAACATCTTCCGCATTTTCATTTGGGGGTTTCATTTTTCGCTTCGGTCTCATCCCCATTGATGTCGCTCGCTTTTTAAATTCTGGATTGGCCTTTACCGCGCCCCGTGTTCAACTGTTGCCTTGCCACTTAAAGGACATCGTTACTCGTCTCCACCATGTCGGTCACCATTCGATATGCCCGTTACCTTCTCTTCGCCGTCGTGGTAGGTCCTCGTCTCTTGAACTCTATCGACATGTGATACTAACAGGGAGCAGGGATTGGCGCTCTTCTTCGTCATCTCAAAATCCTCCATCCCTCTTCCCAGCACGGGTTCCACCGCTCCTGCGCCCAAAAGCCCGCCTACCTATGACTCGGTCAAGTCGCAAAAGCCAACTGTAATTGGCCCCCACCAGTCTCAACGAGTAAACGCTACATTCGTCACTTTGGCGCGCAACTCCGATCTTTGGGACATGGTCAAGTCTATTCGAACCGTCGAGGACCGTTTCAACCGCAACTACAACTACGACTGGGTGTTCTTGAACGATGACGAATTCGACGAGGAATTCAAGAAGATTACCACTGCCCTGATCTCCGGCCAAACTCACTATGGAGTGATTCCCAAGGAACACTGGTCTTACCCCGAGTGGATTGACAAGGACAAGGCCAAGGAAGCGCGCGAGGAAATGGACCGCAAGAAAATCATCTACGGAGGCTCAGAGAGCTACCGCCACATGTGCCGCTATGAGTCTGGATTCTTCTTCCGCCACCCGCTTATGATGAACTTCGAGTACTACTGGCGCGTTGAGCCTAGTGTCGAGCTCTTCTGCGACATTGACTCTGATCCATTCCGTTTCATGAAAGAAAACAACAAGAAGTACAGCTTTGTCATCAGTCTGTACGAGTATGTCGCGACCATCCCTACCCTGTGGGATAGCGTGAAGAAGTTCACCGGCAGTCACCCCGAATACGTTAGCGAAGGAAACGCCATGGAGTTCATCAGTGCTGATGGTGGAGACACCTACAACAACTGCCACTTCTGGTCGAACTTCGAGATTGGCAGCCTGGAATGGCTGCGATCTGATGCATATGTGGACTACTTCACATCTTTGGACAAAGATGGTGGCTTCTTCTATGAGCGATGGGGCGATGCCCCTGTCCACTCCATTGCTGCCTCTATCATGTTGAAGAAGGAAGAGATCCACTTCTGGGACGACATTGCATACTACCATGTTCCATTCACACATTGTCCTACCGACGAAAAGAAACGACTGGACCTGAGATGTTCTTGCCAACCCAAGGAGAACTTCGATTGGAAGGATTATTCATGTAAGTCTTCATTACCCAGCCCTCAGGTATCAAACTTGCTAACGGTAGCATAGGCACCAAGCGGTGGTTTGACATCAACAAGATGCCAAAGCCTAATGGATGGGATAAGAAGCACGACTGATTGTCTCCCCTTGATGTATTCGGGCCCTTGTGTCCGGTCTTTCTTTTTGTTAGCGACAAAGCGCGGGTCGATTGTCGCCTGGATATGAAGGACTGTGTAGTTGAAGGCCGAAGAGCCGATGGGAATATCATTTCCACGACTATACAGTAGATATAGCACTTAGTGCAGATATGCTGTTCATGATTTAGCTCGGGCGAAAAGCTGTCAGACTACATTTTGTTTATTTTGATTCCCATTACTTCAAGAGTGATTGTCTGTTACTATTAGATTCCCAGCGTTCTTTGGGGTTTGATTCATGCATAGGTCTGGAGTACTGCGATATTCTTGGAGCCAACTCTTTACACACTGAGTACTTAAATAGTATTACAAACCCTCAACGCCCAGTGATTCAAGAGTAGGATACGGCCAAAAAGATGTATGATGAAATCTGGAGACATAGTGTTACATGCAAGTATAGACAAGGCTTGCTCGTGGAATAAGCTTAATAGCCAAAACAAACAGATCGAGGGCAAAAAAGTTGTATAGTATCACAGCAGGTTGGTTGAAGTCAATTCATCCGAAGCAGCCATTTTAGTTGGTCTTGGGCTTCTTCGTGCCGTACTTCGAGCGACTAGTCATACGACTTCCAACACCACCCTGTAGTCAAATAATTAGCAAAAGTCCTCGACTCGTCCCAGCGCCACATTGTGAAACTTACCAAATCCATCGCACCACGGACAAGGGTATACTTCACACCAGGACAATCCTGGGCACGTCCACCACGAACCTGGACAACACTGTGCTGCTGAATGTTGTGGCCTGCAAACTCGAATTAACAAACATTTTTCCCCCCGAGATCCAAGATATCAATTGGAATCAATTCCAACTCCAATGATATCCACTCCAAAACTCACCTTCACCAGGAATGTAGGCAGTGATGACCTTGCCCGAACTCAAGCGAACTCTTGCAACCTTACGTTCACCAGAGTTAGGCTTCTTGGGCTTGGTCACACCAGTCTTAACACAGACACCCTTAAGACCAGGCGTGCCCTTCAGCGCAGGAGAACGACCCCGACGAGCCCGCTGACCAGTCCGAATACCCCGACGGACTTGGTTGTATGTAGCTTGAATAATGGGTGAAGTAGAGAACTGCCGTTGCGACACGGAGAATGCGGCTGAGGTACGGAAAACGGGCTGGAAGTTGAAGCGGGAGGTGATCGGGGTTTGTTTCGCGGTGATGGCGCTGGATGTGAGCGTGCGGCGGACAGGTGTTGAAATTGCCGGACGCTGGACAAGGCTCCGCAGGGCCCGGAGGGCCAGTGGTGAAAGTAATTGAGGCATTGAGGTCTTGTGTCTGGACTTTCTTCGTGGATGGGAATCTCGCGATAGAATTGATTTGCCGGATGGCGGAGAGCACGTGATGTGCGGTGGTGGTGTCTGTGGGAGACCGGAGAAGCTGGACGCGCTGCTTCTCTGCCTGAAGCATCATCGTCATCTCCATCTCCCTTTTCCTCTGGTTTTAACGGTTTATCTTTCTAACGAGCTTTCAAACGAATTGCCGCTCTGCTATTTCTCAATTCGAGCTCTGAATTTAAATATCTAGCCATTCTCACCGGCCATCATGGTACGTTATCAAGCTACGGACCCCGATCTTACCAGGAGCCAGCAAGCGCCCCGATCAACCATGAACATCATTCCACTCTCTACCCACCAACAGCTGGTCATACCAAGCATGAAACAACCCAAACTAATAATCCCAGTCTCTCCGCATCGCACCCCCAAGCGGCAACCCCAATGAAACCACCAACCTCACAACCCGGCAACAAGCCAGCGTAACCGCACCTCGACCCTCAAAGGGCGCTCCATCAGCCCCCGGTCTCCCCGACACTCTCCGTAACAAGCTCACTCTCCCCGCAACCGCCCACGCCTCTTCCACGAACGCCGGCGGCGAAACCCCATCATCGACACACCCCCTCGAAGCCCGCCTTATGGCATGGCGCTCAACCCAAGAAGCAATGAAGATGGAGGGTCTTCGTCGGGCATATGGTATTGCCGAGCCTGTTCGTCGCGGCATGGAGCTGAAGATCGTGCGGGATGGCACTTTCCGGCCTGCTGTGTTGGGCGGTATGCGGGGTGGCAATGTTCATGAGGATATTCTTACGATTGGTGGTAGAGATGCAGAGGTTCAGTGGGAGGATATTTACACTGGTATGTTGATGAGAGCTTTGGGGGTTGGACGTTTGGCTAACTTGTTTCAGGTGATGATCTCCGTGAACCGCCTACCTTCCATGACGAGATGGAGAAGAGGCTCAAGATGGACTTCTAGATGCTTGATGATATGGTGTTCTTACGTTTGGTTTTTCTCGGCATGTTCTACTAGTCTGACTCTTATGTCTCTTCCCATACTCCTACCTGATATTGAATAGATGGGTAGATAATTGGACTCCATGCATTGAAATATCTGCTGTATCGGTGTGCAGAAATCGTATTCGGTCCATTGGACCAGTGACTTCAGGAAAAACCAAGTCTACCAAGTCTAATGGCTGTGCGGAGTATCGACTTATGTAGTTGCATTTGTCGGATCCACACCGCTGTGGATAGCCGGCGATTACCTCGTCAACCACGAGTGCAAGCTCGAAATGTCAACGAGAAGGGTTATATATATAAATAGGCACTTTGTTGAATGAGTATGTGACAAAAGTATGAACTCCACGACACCCTGTACACTACGACTAACCACGAGTAGTCCGAAAGGCAAGCAAACTGAGAAAGCATGGAAGGAAAAGAGAGTCGTAAATACACGAGATGTTAAAAAGGCCATACAGGTTGATAAGACAGAAAAAGGAAAGTCGGATTGAAGGGGGTATATAGAGACGGGGCAAGGAATAATGATGACAGCAAGCAGGCAAAGCAGGACTGGAGATGGAGTCGACATAGGCAGAACATGACCCGAAGATGGTTGATAGGGCGATGTTCAACCAGAAAGGTGAGTCGGACTCAACAAGCAGGAAACATTCACGAAAAGGAAATCCAGCGCGAAAGATCCCAACGCCGCTCGAGGGGCTGATCCAGCATCCAGGCAGAATCGAGCAGATATCGCTGCAATGGCAGATGTGTGAGGAGACGATCACAGACAGAGCTTCCGTGGCAGATGTCTTTCAACGGGGTGGCGGATATGGTGGATTAAGAGCGATTATAGAATCACACAGCGACATCCAGGGCTGCGCTCGCTGGCCTCATTCTCTCGGTTGTATGGCGCCTTGGTCCCCTTTGCGTCTTCCTCGTCGACAACTTCTTGTGGCTTGACAGTCATATGGACGACATTCGGGTGTTCCTTGCTGAACTTGGAGTCTGGTACATTGGTTAGAGTGAATCCATGTATCCTTTCGTTAACACCAGACATACCAGAGAGAGGTGACTTGTCATCCAACAATTTGCCGAAAGAGATGAGGCGGATAGCACTGGGTGAAGAGGGACGAGTTTCCCAATCTTAACAATGTTAGCTGGTGCTCATGACCTCATACACTTCGATTCACTCACCAGAACGCCATTCGCGCCAGATTAGCTCCTTCAGTGTATACACGCTCATCAAGAAGGGATCGTTGTTCTCCACATTCACCGATCGCTTCTGTAAATACTTTCCATCGATGGTGAACGGATGGCGCGAGCCCGTGGTCAACAACAACGTTATGACCAGCGACGGGCCGTTATTCTCAACTTCCTTCCCCGAGCCATCATCAGAGTGCTCAGAGGACATCTCAGGCACATTCTTGGGTTCTTCGGTATCCATTGATGGTGATGTAGATGCAACTTGCGCTGACGAGTTGGGGTTGGTAGTCGCTGTCACGGGGGCGGCGCTTTCGCCACCAGGGCCAGTTGCGGGGTGGCTATGTTTCGGGGCAACGGTGTCGCCTGTGAGCTCGAGTGGTTCGACGGATGGAGTGGAAGCGTCAGCAGTCAGGCCTGGCTGGGTCGAAGGCTCTGTAGGCGCTATTGGCTTTGGTTCTGGGGATTGGGTTGGTTGGTCGGGTTTGGGGTGGCTCGATTCTGGGGTGCCGGTAGACATGGCTTATACAAATGCCTCGTTGGCAAATGGTTGGTGACCTCCTCCGGGTGATTAGATGCAGAATTCAGTCCAAATGTTCCTTGGAAAGGAGGATCTGGTCGGAATGGGAGTGGATGAGGCGGACCGGTCGGTTCCAGATGCAGATGAAAGCCCGAATAAAGATGAAGTCAACTAAGCGCAAAAAGGGGCTTCGAGATTTAAAGCTGTACAGTGAGTATTTGCGACACAAACGAGGGACATCATAGAGTTGAGAGGAGAGAGAGGAGAAGGCAAAAGGGATCGGCAAAGAAGACTTGGAGGCAGACCACTACAAACACCCATCCTAGCGTTTCTTCTCCCCCTACTTGGTTTACATGGGCTTTTAATTTCGAAAAAGGGGACCAACTTCTTCTTTATTGTTGATTAATATTTTCCTTTCGCACTTAAGTAGCTAGGGGTTCATTTTTCATTTAATCTGTGATCCGGGGAAAGCAGCCAAGAGTTTATGCATTTCTGTTCTCCACAGTGACAGGTTCGACTGTACGGAATACTTCTAGATTCGGAGTACGATGATTCTCATTTTATAGACACTTGATCTGAATAGAAACATATGCCATCAAGTCAAACATCCAAGGTGACCCAGTCCATACTGAAATACCTGGCAGAGGTCACACATCCCAATTGTCACTTGGAAATCGTGAATAGAACATTGGGAATCGACGAAAAAGGACAAGTCAGACGAATACTTAAGTCAACGAGAGAAATCTAAGAGTATGTTTCGTGATTCATTCAATTAATTGTCTTTTGTATCGAGATCCGGCTCGGGATGCGACTAAAAAGCAGTCAAGACCGGCCTTGTGTAGCTAAATCCTGTGTCCAAATCCAGCCAGCATACTGATCTACCAGTTCATTTCTCACGCCCTCGGATCCGTGATAAACATCTAGGAGTCGTACGTTGCCGATACTGCCTCCAAAGTCATCCTCAACCTTGCTCGTCCAGTTCGCAACGTGGGCCTTCACGCGCTCGACCACAGCTGGATCATCCTGGATCAAAAGAGCAATGGCGTCATAGCCTCCTGCTCCCGGGACAACACCTCCGATAACACCTTCAAGTTTTGTGAGGCTGTCGATCAGCTCAGTCTGAATGCTGGGTTCAATGGGGACGCCGGTCAGGCGGGTCAAGGTCTGAATATGATGGCGTGTGTGCTTAATCAAGGCACTGATTCCCTTAAAGTTGTCGAAATTGAGACCGGGGGTTTGGGCCATGCGCTTAAGCTCTTGGCGTAGCTTCTCGTTGTTCTGCTGCAGATTGCGGAAGAGCAAAGTTGCTTCGACGGGATTGTTTTTCTTCCACTCGAGGACTTTCTTGACCATTGAGGGGGTTTCAGAACCACAGTCCACGTCACACAGCACAAGCTGCATATCGCGGGGAAGTTGCATGCCAAAGTCGACACATTCGGTATCCCATTGATGCTTGGGGTCGGAGTCCTCTACAAGGGCAAACAGACGTTCTTCGAACCCATCCGAACCCACATCACCGATGGATTCCAGGATCTTAGGCGAGAAGCGACGGTAGAGACAAGACCCGTAGATGGCGCTGGCAACATCAAATCCAGATCCGACCTTTCCCTGAGCTGCACAGTGAGCTGCTTGAGCGAGATTGTGAAGCTTATCGCGAGCAGCGCCGAGATCCTCAGGCTGCATGGTGCGGTGAATGACCACAGCGGAGACAAGAGCAGTAACCAGTGCAGCGGAAGAGCCTAGTCCGGTCTTATGAGCTTCAAAGAGAGGAACTCCGAAGTCAACAAAGTCATCGCTGCGACCTTTCACCTTTTTGCCCTTCGAGGCATCAGTTTCGGAGTAATAATCCTTGTCGGCCATAATGGTGACAGACAACGATCCAAAGTCCTTGGAATCAGCAACGTAACTGATGTAAGTCAAGGCATAGCTCAGAGATGTCTCCACAAAAGGATTGCGCTTGCTAGTTGATATGTTAGCCAATGCGTTCGATTCCAGATTCTACCAATTCATACCCGTCCCCTTTCTGCACCACCTTGACACCCCCACCATTCTCGCATCGCTGCACGCCATATTCCCATATCGCATCGACGAACTGCGGGGAACGCACTATCACTGTCCCCTCCTCCGCTTCAGCCTCTCCGGCGGGCGCATTGGCGCCGCGGGGGTGACCTCTCTTCAATTGTTGGACAATGACATGGATGCGGGCGTTGAGGGCGAACACGGTCCCGGTGTAGGAACGATCAAGACATAGATATCCACCAGTCAGGAGGACCTTGCCCGGCGCAGAGAGCGCAGTAACCGAGACAGGAGCGCTCATCACGTATTTGCAGAAAAGCTCTCCTTCTGCCCCACGATTAGTTATTAAACAGAAACAATGAGCTCCGGAGCACAAACGTGGGCACCAATACTTTGGCCTGCGGATCAGGGGTGGCGGTCGGTTCACTTTGTTTTTGACGCGTGGAGTTCGCATTTTGAGTGTTGGGAAATCGCGAGTTCGAATTCGACCTGGCGGATATTTTTATTTTTGGTTCTCTTTTTTTTTTATTTATGTCTTCTGTCTTCTGTGTTCCTTTCTTTTTTTCCCCTCTCTTTGCACTTCAATAACTCTTTCACTTTTCTTCTTTCTTTACTCCTTTTCTCTTTGAAATTTCCATTTTGTCTCAGGTCTAAAGTGATTTTGCTCATAGCCAATCACTCATATACACTGTAGATTCAAACACGGTATATGGAACATGCATGAATATGGTCAAATTGAATTAACTAAGTACTGAGGTATCATGAATAATATATGGTATATCGAGTATATATTGGATTATCGCTTGAGCATGACCCCCAACACCAAAATCAAACTCCATAGACTCCGAAGCCAGAAACCTTCCGTTGATCCCAGCTAGCCCAACAGCTATACCACTGGCTTTTGCGCAATGATGCTATAACTTGTCGTGGCCAGTCGCATGCGATCCATCTTAACGAATGCCTGTCCATCCAAACAAAGACGGTTGATCAAGGTCTTGAAGTGGCGGGGCACCACATGCACCTTCACCAGCGCAAGGATGGCCTGGCGCAAAGTGCGGAAGTAGACATCGACGGTATCAATAAGCGGTGCTTGAAGACCGTCGATGCTAGCATTCTGCGACCGCACAATCTCAAACCCAGCCTCCTTGAGCGCATTCTCCAATATGTCCTGGGTGGGTGTGCCGACGGCACCGATGAGAGGCTTGACTCGGCGCATCAGCTCGGCGTGTTCGGGATTACTGGCATCGTAGTCGGGTAGACTCATCCAGTCGAGGAGGGAGATTTTCGAACCGGGCTTGACGACTCGGAAGATCTCACGGAAGAGCGCAGGCAGGTCTTTGCATAAGCTCAGCGCTTGGATCTGGTAGAAGGCATCGAAGCTCTCGTCGGCGAAGGGCAGGGGGAGGTCGTTGAAGTCTTGGGTGACGAAGTTGTTCTGGAGGCCGCGCTCGGTATTGAAGCTAGTTGCTTGTGCGATTTGATTTGGGTCAATGTTCAGACCTGTGACGTGTGCGCCAGTGTGTTGCGCCATGTGAGCAGCGACGCGCCCGCGGCCACAACCCAGATCCAAGACCTTCTTTCCAGCTGTGAGACCGATGTCCTCTGCGATTGAGCGTTCGTATAGGATCTGGTTCTCGAGGCAATTGGACTTGGGGTCCATCCAAGGTGGGATGTACATTTTCTCGACGTCACCCAGTGCGCAGAGATGGTTCAGCACTCCATAGTAAGACTTTAAACAATCACCGACTTTCTCCTGGTAATTCGGGCCCAGCGTCTCGGTCATTTGCTTCTCGTCGGACCAGTCCAGGTTATAGATGACGTATGAGGCCATGAAGTCGTCCACTTCTTTCGGGGTGAGATGCGCCAAGTGCCGGAATGCCGACCAGAAGCTCTTCCATCGCTTTGGAGAGGCCGAGTCATTGATTTTACCGTGGTTGAGGGTTTGCGCCTGGTGTTTCTCTTGCGCGATCTCGTCCAGCGAGCTATCACTTTCTGAGCCGCGTCCGCTGCGCGCAGGGTGCGGTGTATGCGGTGTGTCCACGACTGTTTGCGTCGCCATAGCTGAGCTTCAGAGAGTATTATCAAGGTCAAAAAAGGGTCAGGTATTATGTGCAAGGAAATGCGCTGATGGAGCGGCGTCCCTGGGGGGATCCAGCGCCATTTATAAGCGCTGTTCATGGTCAATCCGCTTCTCCACGATCAAAAAAAAAAAGAATAAAAAAACCCGCCCAGGTCGTTCTATGGTCAGTAGCCACATAGTGGATTGTCACCGGACATGGAAGCTCCTACCGGCTATCCCGGCAGTGATTTGGTCCGTTGAAGCCAGAGATCCGAATTCCGACTATTTCAGGGCTCGTTGGAATCGCCAACGCCATGAGATGCCATTTCTCCAGCTTTTGCCATCTTTCAGATCCGTATACCTCGAGCGCATCGTGTCGGCAATCTCCATGACGGCCAGGCACGGATGACGCGGGACCCTGAAGGGAAATGAGTATCGTCATCGCACGACGATCTAGACCCACTTATATAGTTTAGATACTGTATTCTATAGTGAGTATTCCTTCTTACAATATAGATACAGCAATGCAGGTCAACATCATCATACCTGCTGATCGCGTAATGGTAAGGGTTTACATCTTAACATGGATATCATACGAGTAGACCGTACGAAGTAAAGCATAATTGTACACCGTCTAGTCCTACTTATTCACCACTCACGCAGCTTGCTTTTGATCACAAACATTTTACAATGATCTCATTCAACGCCTCTACAGCTCAGGACTAATGTTTGATGTCACCTTCAACCACAAACCGAAGGACAAAGAGACGGTAAATCGGCAGTATGAGAAGCCATGCTTGATCCGTACGGCCTCGTGGTATGAAGAAATTGCATCCATGGAAAATACGATCGATTTATAAGCGGAAACAATAGTTTTTCGAAAAAAAGAATAATTCCCGCCAAACCAGGCCATATGGCTCCGGAAGTACCATCAATGTGATTGAACGACGTGAGGGACTTTATATCGGGACCCACTTGATCGTCCGGTAGGGCGAAGAAAAAAAATATAAGGCGCCGAGACCCTGATTCCCGTATATCCGCCGGTCACGTGTGGCCAAATGTAGTAAAATGCCCCTTTCGGGGAGTTTCATCGAAGAAAAGAAGGCTTGGCATGTCTTCCATGCTCCGAACTTGCCGAATGGCGAGCCGTAGAAAATATGTCCAGGGTAATGCAGGTGAAAGAGTGCATTATGAAGCTCGCCTTATACATCCTCGAATTTCCGTGTCTTGGAATGTGGTTGGGAATGGTTTCTCGTACTTTGGAGTACTCGGACTCTAGACGGGAAGTCTGTTGCATGAGTACTCGTAATAGCATAACGGGTTTTCACGGCATAATGCAAGCCACGGCACAGCACATTAGTGGGGTCTGTCAGCCGAGTTCACCAAGGTATCCTAAGATTGTCAAGCTGGGACAGCAATAAGAGTTGATCTCTGTAAACTTCAGAATTGGCGGTAGAGATTACTTGGGAGGAAACATGAGTATTTAAGAACCAATATTTGAATGTGGATCAGTTATCCAGGTTATCACAATACTTGTACGAGTACTTTGCACTGCTGAGGTCCGTACGAGTACCTGGGAGTTCACAAGTTTTTCTGTGGACCCGGGTGGGATGATAGTCAGCGATGATGTATTGCAGGGAGTAGCGGTTCTATTTCCCTTTTAGGACATGAGGAGCTATAAGCCCTGGAGTACATCTGTGCTTGTACTCGTACTATCTTAGTACCTGAGGCAGTCCTTAAAGCTTACTTGCCTATCTAGTACCTCCAATCTACGAAATCGTAATCGCAATTTATCTAGATATGAGTCATTATGTGAGTTGGATCGTTTTGGCCCGTTGAAACGACGCATTGATCGCAATGTATTCGGCCACTCTGCTCTACAACCTTGAAGAGAATATGCATGATAAGGACTATATTCTCTCTTCAGCCGTTGCTCAAGTGAAACTTTTTGAAGCTGCACTTGACTAAACCAATACACCATGGTAAAACGCCTATTCAATCCGATCCTCCCCCACGGGCCTACTGTGGAACGTGCACTCCGTGATGTACATACTAGCCATCTTCCGATCGACAGCCCTGCCCCATGGTACAGCACGGTGAGTGCTTGGTTACCGACCCTGCAGGGTGCACTGACGGTTTCAAGGTTATTTCAAGCGTAATTTTTGACACATGCACTTACGAGTTGTATGTGTACTGGATCTTCCCTGGCAGGTGGGGTTGGGGTTTTCCTATTTGGGTTGCCGCTTTAATGAGGGCCCTAGAGTAGATATCAGTACGAGCTCATGGTTAGTGATGAGCTCAGACTGGTCACGTGTATAATGACTGTATGCCCCAAATGCAACAGCCCCACAGGGCCGTTTATACTGTGGTGTCTAGTTTGATAATAGCATCGCACCTGCCCTCCGTACTGCACTACCGGCAGGGACGCCACAGAAATCGCGACTTTTACTCGTAGCGTACCTCACTACGAGTACCGGCAGGGATGCCACGGAGATCGTGATTTTTAGCGTACAGTACATCAGTGATCACAGCAATCAGAAAGATACAGTATGAATCGTTACATACACCTACAGAGTTGTTACACCGCTACATGGAGTGTTCGTCGTCACGTGACCATATTACCATCTTTCAGAGAAGTAGAACCGCTTTTCTAAATGCTTCTAGGCTTGAACCCATTCCTATTCGATCTTTGAATTGATATCAACCAGTCTCATTTTTTAGTGGGCATCTTGTCTTGGTAAGCATGCAGTCAATGAATTGGAAATCCGACATCAACCATGCCAAATCGATACCGATGATCAACTGGGCTGCTCTTATAAAATATGCCATTAAAACCAGAGACCCCCAGAGCATGGAACCCTCAAATACTCGGACATGCTATAATCATCCTTCATACAACATGGGCGGGCTTCATCTAGTAAGAGTCCTCGTATTTGACGACGGAATGAAATGGGTTGCGCGCATTCAGTTACACGAACGCACAAGCGAATCCAAGAAACGGCTGCTCTATGAAGTTCACACACTCTCTTTACTACGAGAGCGAACAGAGATTCCCGTACCAGAAGTATTTGGTTACGATCTCAGCGGAGATATTATCGGCCGTTGTTTTGTGCTCATGAACTTCATTCCTGGCAGCACTGCGATGGATGCTTTTGGAGGTTGGAAGGTTCACAATGGTGAAATTCCACTGAAATTCAAGCCAGAATTCTCCCAAAGTATTGCAAAAATACATGTAAGCGTACTGAATGTTCGCTCTTGTGGGATCTTGACTGACTAACAGGCGGCTATGTCCAATATTCGATTTTCCAAAATTGGTATGATTATACAGAATGATGACGGTTCGTACGATGTCGATGCAATACCTGGGCTCGGAGGCCCGTTCGAAACCGCAGCGGAGTATTTTACCGCATGGTGCAAGACCGTCAAATTTCCGACGCGAGAAACCGACATTAGAGCCCGTTTACCATATCACTTACAAGATGAAATGCTCGAATCGATTGAGAAATTCCCTGATCAAATCCAAGAGAGCCTGCATAAGTTTCTCGTCAAAAACGAAGGCCCTTTCCCACTCTATCACCGAGACTTCCGACACAGCAATGTTATCATCGACAACAATTATAATATTTTGTCTATCATCGACTGGGACAATGCAGGCACAGTCCCTTGGGAGATTGTTGAATTTCCCCTTTTCTTGGATGTTATACCTCCGCCAATGGATATGCCAGGAAACTACGATGCCAAAGGAAACCCCGTCGACGAAGAAACCCGGAACCTATGGAACGAACGAAACGATTATGTGCAAGGTGTCATGAAAGACGAGAAAGAGACTGGCTCTGACGGAAGCCTTTCTTCCATTCTCTCCTCTCGATATAACCAGAACATCGCGACTGCACTCAGGCTCTATGAGGAATCTGGGAAAATAGGGCATTACTGCAAAGTCTTGGATGAGATGGGGCACACATGAATATGTAGACTAACAAGTCGCATTTTATTGATGTAGCTTTACTGAGTGCGTTCAACGCCAATCTGATTCTAGTCTGTGAGCGAATCAGATCGCTTATATGATGATCATTGAGTGGATCAGACTGTTCAGGGGCGTGCTGAATTTTACTCTGAGATCAAAAAGCGGCAAGAGGTGGGCACTAAAATGGAAGGGAGAAGGTCTCGAGTGCCAGTAATTATCTGGTACATATGATTATCTCGACGATCTACTCGGTCTGATATGAGAAATAATAGTACATACGAATCCTCGTATGTATCTTCTTGGCAAAAGGCTGGTCACCAACTTTAGAAGGATTATTGCTCAACTTTCGAACGTTAGAAGGAGCCACCTCCCCAAGTTGTCACTGGTCAGTGGCAGGTACCAACGCATCGTACAAGATGTTCGCGTGTGATATATTTCCATAAACTCATGCGTTGTCAACATTTGATATCAATACTACCATGCTACCTACTTGTAATTATACAAATATGGAAAGAGCAGGGTTATATGCTTGAGGACGCGTATATCGGAATCCTCCGCACAACGGTCCTTTGCGTACGAGTAAGTTCCGATACGGAGACTTTCTGCGTTGGACGAATCAAAAGAACAGATATTTGTTTTCCAGCGCGCCCTTCCTGTGATGATCGTTGGGCGAGGCGGCACAGAAATCGATCGACGGGGCGGTTCGTGCTCGGCGGGGTGTCCGAGTACCAGCTCACTGACGTCAGACTAGACCGGAGTTTGTCGTCTACGAAATGCGAATACGGAGTACGAGTACTCGTATCGATATTTAAAGGTAAGCATAATATCATCCACCGGTAGATGCTCAGATTCAGACTTCCCACGAACGAGATCGGGTTCATAGTATTCCAAGGTTAGTCGATAGACGTATGTAAGTAGAATACATATGATGGATAACCGTTTGGATTGCGTCATTAAGCGGGGAGGCACATGACAGGTGTCTCGGGAATCGAGTATGTAAGTATGTACAAAGTACTTGGATCTTGTATACAGCATTCCAGCTCTACTCGGACGAGTAGGGTCGGAACATTTGGGTATTCTGCCTTTGAGGTATACCAGCTGGTTCTGCTAGTAGATGCTGTTCATATGTTATAGGAAACTGGTGTCATAGTATTCGTACCTCTTATCCGAAGCGTCTTCGGAGATATCTCCCGTACTATCTAGACAGACTTTGAGCTTGGAGATGACTTCAGTAGTATTGTGTGTACTTCCTTACGCTGTAGTTGCGGAGCAGCCATCAAATCAGCCATGTCGGCTCCGGGGCTCCTATCCCCGGGCGACTCGAACACGCCCAGGGATTTTCTTCAAACAGTATGAAGCCTCGCACGATGCTGCCAACACTGCAGGGATGCATTGTCCAGTGAGACAGCCCAGAGCTATCAGATCGCGAGAAGTGTTGGTATGAATGATTTGCTCTGAACCCTATCAGAAGAGGTATTGAATATGCGTGGGCTGTACAATCCTGGCAGATGTTCGGCGACCCGTTTTCGTGCCTTGAACGACGTTAATTTATTTTGACATCATTACCCGAGGGGATATGGACGTCGCGTCGAATTTAATTTGATTCCAAGGTCAGCGATGGTGATGAGACGACGGAGAATATCTTGGGAAGCTTGCATCAGCACCTAGGCTGGACAACAATTTGCCATAAATCGGATGGAGGGGATGTGGGGTGTACGAGTAGGAAACAAATTCACTGGGAAATGTTGACAGGAGCCGAACCACACGGCCTTTAATCCCATGGTGCTAGGCCCTGAGACTTGATCACAGTGAAGAGTTTCCATACAGTCCGTCAGTAAAGTCAAACACTGGAGAATAATGAATTGATTGAAATTTTCGGGCCTTGCCCCAAAACTGCCGACCGAGCAGCTTGACACTGAGCTTCGTTGCAGGTGTTCGCCGTACGAGAGCTCGTGTCAGAATTGCATGGGATGGTGTGGATTAACCCGCTCTTTGAGCCTGAAAATCACCCAAAATCGGTCGATCGCGTCCCACAAGCCAGAGGCATTGCCACGAAGCAACAAAAGCAACAGCGAGTGCTGGCACAGCCACGACGAAAAGCCGATTTTGAGCGCTTTCAGACTCAAAGCCCGAGCCAATCCCTCAATCCCCTCATCTTCGCATGTGCATAATAGAGCATCAAATCAAGACGAGCTGAGTCCATTACCACAATATGACATATGGGAAGGCGACAGGGTTCGTAAGCTGACCCCTGTCTGAAAACTTGTTTCAGATGGACTCCGCCCGGAGGCCAAATTGTACCCGTACTCGTAGTACGATGTTGCATCAATGCGAGAACGAAGTACGGGAGTACGTACTCGGAGTAGACATTAAGGTGTTGAAGGAATAAGGGCCCTTGGAAACACCACAACGCAAGCCGTGGAAGCGAGAGAACAAAAAAAACAAACAGAGCAAACAGAACAAACGAGGCAAATAGGCTAGGCAAACAGCAAAGGCCGTTAAGTCCGCCCTCGGACGGTCGGGACACCGAGCCGGGGAAGGAGTAACGCAGCTCCGAAGTGGAGAAGAAAAAGAACCGGGAGGAGCGTGACTCACAGGAACAATCGACCCCTTTTGCTGTACTAAACGAGAACGGCTGACTGCTGATTGGACCAACTTTTCTCTGACCTTTTTGATCTGGCACCTGACTTGATTGCAAAGCTGTACCGGGTACTTGGTCCGTCAGGTAAACTCCGTTTTCCGCTGGAATAATCCCCGAATGTGATGGCTTCGATGCAATGTATCGAGAAAAGAAAAGAAGAAAAAATTGGTGTCTGCAGTTTGTGGGAGTACAAAGTAAACAGATAGGATTAAATGTCGAGCGAGTGCGGGTGTCACAAATATCCAACGATCTATCGCAAGTAGACGGAGTACAGACGGAGAAGTCCACAGGGTACGTATGTACAGAGAGGATTCTCCGGAGAGGATCGGCCCTAAGCAGTTCGAGGCCCACTGTGAAACTCCATCTCCTTCCAGAAGATGTGAGAGTTATATTTTCCCTCCCTTGTCCTTCTTTTCTTCCCCCATCCCATTAGTCCTGACACTACAGGACCTTTTAATTTGATTATTTCTAATATTGTCGGCGCGTTCATTGGCGATTATCGTCAAATGAACCTGCATCTTCACTAATAATTTCGAGTGCACGGTAAGCATGTGAATATCCAAACACGCGAGCCTCGCTAACTCGCTCTCAGCTTTGCCTCTTTGCTCAGAAGAGGTTGCCCATCAGATAAATGGTCTTCAAACCATTCACCCACCTCGCGCGCCAGTCTTTCACCAAAGCATTCACCCATGGATATGCTCAGTCGGTAGTCGCGGCGTCGCAGACCTACGCGTCCACCACTCCTTTTAACCCGCTCTCCGTCCAATCCGCCAAATTCTCTCGCACAACCCAATTACAGAATGCCTTCTCTAATACCTCCAGCTCGTCCGGCGCTGGCGCAAAGACCAGCTCAGGTGGCTCTGGGGGCAGTGATGGCGGTCTAGCTGCCTACTACGCTGCGTGGCAGAATGCGCAGCAAACTGGCGATGACAGCGACTGGACTCAGTATGAGTTCAACCGCCGCATTGGCTGGAAGCCCTCAGATGAGGCCGATATCCCTGAAGACCGCGTCGCGTCCGACTCGATTCCTCCACACCCCACCAAGGCTGCCGTGAACGACGATGTGAGCGCTCAGGTAGAGGAGGCAGTGGCTCGGGAGATCCAGATTCAAGAGGAACAAGCACAGGCAGAGGAGGCTGCGTTGAGCGCCGCCCCTGCGGATGTCGCCCAAGTGTCCGAGGCCGCGCAGGTTGCTTCAGACGGCATTGTGCGATTGGTCGCGAACAAGATGTATGCCGATATCCCGGCCGCGTTCGAGGCCTTGCTTCGCGACGGATTGACACCGACCGTAGAGGCATACAATGCCTTGTTGGTGGCTGCTATTCGTCTTCACCCCGATGCTGCTCAGGCAATCCCAAAGGCCCTCGATGTCTACTCCGATATGCTTCGCCGCAAGGTGATTCCCGATGAAGATACCTACGAGACTTTGGTTCACCTGCTGGTCACCCGGTCTCACGACGTCATCAAGGTTAAGCAGGTCCTCGAGAACCAGCGACTTCGTTTTGGTGGCATGGAGGAACAAGGAAAATTCATGCTCCAGTCAAGCGAGTTGGAACATGCCATTCTTCTTGAGGATACCTCTTTGTCAATTGCTGTCAAGCTCTTCGATACCGCCGCCTTGCGCCACAGCCGACATGCCTTCCCCGTGGAGACTTACCGTCAGCTCATTATTGCCTGCGCCAAGGAAGGAAAGGCCGAAGACATGATCCGTGTCTATGCCCACATGGAGTCCCACAAGGTCACTCCCCACGCTACCATCTTCCCTTCGATGATCACTGCTTTTGCTTCTGCCAGTGATCTTCGCAGTGCTGTCGAATGCTACAACGAGTATCGAGGCCTTGCTGTGTCTGACGACAACGGTGTTTTCAGCATCGTTGAGCGCCAGGATGGTCAGGTATATGCTGCTTTGATCCGTGCTTACTTGTCTTGCGACAAGGAAGCTGGAGCCCTGCAGTTCCTTGACAAGATTCGTTCTTCCTTCGATAATGTGACTGATGGTCGTCAAGACCGGTGGTCTGCAGTGGAGAGCGTTATCATCGAGGAGGCGTTTGTGCAACATTCCATTGATACCTTCAAATACAGCCAGGCCCTGGAACAAGCCAAGGACCAATTGCATGATGTGGCCCGTGATCAGGCCATCTCCCGCATTTGCATTTCCGCCGCCGACGCCGACGATCTCCCCACTGCCTCTGCAGCATATGATAGTCTGCCCACTGCACCTGATGCACGACAGAACCCGGCTATTTCCCTGCTGGCGCTTCACGTTCGCCGGGGCAATGTTTCGGCGGCCCGTTCCTTGTGGATCATGTTGAACACAGTGGGTCAGGCAACCCCGGATATGGTTCAGCCGACAGCTATGTATGCGGTCGCATTGCTCAAGAGTGGAAATGTTGAGGAAGGTCTACACCAGGCCCGTAACATGTTCACTCGTATTCGCAAAGCATCCGAACAACAGAACCTCGTCGACACCCGCGAACAAATTGTTGAGTCTCTTCACCTCTTTGGTCGTGTCCTCATGCAGTCGGCCGCTGTTCTTTCTCCCCAAGCTTGCATGACACTCCTGTGGTCCATGCTCGAGAACGGCGGTCTGGTATCGCCTGTGGCGGAGCACGCTGTCGCCAACCTTGGTCCCATCGGTATCTCACAGCTCAAGCCTGCCGACCTTACCCTTGCTCTCCAAGTCCAGGCTGGTATGTTGGCGAGCAGCAGCTCGATGCTCTTTGACGTTGCTCACCCAGTTCGATTTGCCCACATGCTCGACGTTGCTTTGTCTTCCTCTCTCCCAATGGATGTCTACACCACTGGTCTTGTCGATCAGGCCGTTGGTCGGTTGTATGTGAGCAGCCCTGATATTGTTAAGAAATGGCAAGATTACCTGGGTGCGAACACGCCGACCTCGGTATCGCCTGCCCGTGTGTTTTCCGAGAGCCATAGCCCTGTCTCCATGGCTGAGACTTCCATCACTGCCCCCACTGCACCTGAGTCATTTGACCCCTACGCCCACGCAACTGACTTCCGCGGATCTGCCATCATTGCCGAGGAGCTTGAGAAGACAAGCGGACGTATCGAAACTCATCTCAATGAGGCCTTGACTCGTCTCAACAACATGCGCCGCACTGGTCGTCACCCGCGTTACATCACCTATGCTAAGTTGATCACTGCCGCGTCTAAGACTGGCCGCATGACTCTGGCCCACGAGATTCACAACATGGCCCGCTCGGACGTTCCCCTCGACATGAACTTCACTGCCGTCAAGTACGGCTGGGTCTCCATCCTCGACGCCATGGTTGCTGCCTGTCTCACCCTCGGCGACCGCCAGCTGGCTGCTCAGTACCACAAGGAGCTTCTCACTCTCGGATCTGCCCCCTCGGCCAACACTTTCGGTTTGTACATCACCACCCTCAAGGAGTCCACCAAGACTTTCGACGAGGCCACTGAGGCCCTCAAGGTCTTCCACCGTGCCGTTGCTGAGGGTGTTGAGCCAACATCCTTCCTGTACAACGCTCTCATTGGAAAGCTCGGCAAAGCCCGTCGCATTGACGATTGCCTCGCATACTTCGCTGAGATGCGTGCCAACAACGTGCGCCCAACCAGTGTTACCTACGGAACCATTGTGAACGCCTTGTGTCGTGTCAGCGACGAGCGCTTCGCCGAGGAGATGTTTGAGGAGATGGAGTCCATGCCTAACTACAAGCCGCGTCCTGCGCCTTACAACTCCATGATCCAGTACTTCCTCAACACCAAGGGTGACATCAGCAAGGTTCTGGCTTACTACGAGCGCATGCAGGCTCGCAACATCCAGCCTACCATGCACACCTACAAGCTCCTTATTGATGCTCATGCCTCCCTCGAGCCGGTCAACATGGCTGCTGCCGAGGCCGTTTTGGAAACCATGAAGGCCAGCGGTCAACATCCTGATGCAGTTCACTACGCTTCTCTCGTCCACGCTAAGGGATGTGTCCAGCATGACCTCGAGGGTGCTCGTAAGATCTTCGACACTGTTCTGTCCAACCGCCGCGTCCGTCTCCAGCCCTGCCTCTACCAAGCCCTCTTTGAGTCCATGGTCGCCAACCACCGCGTCGCCGACACTGAACCCATCGTGCAGGACATGCTCGCCCGCAAGGTTGAGATGACCGCTTACATTGCGAACACGTTGATTCACGGCTGGGCCGCTGAGGGCGACGTTACCAAGGCCAAGGCCGTCTATGACAGCATTGGCATCCAAAAGCGAGAGCCCAGTACCTACGAAGCCATGACTCGCGCTTTCCTGAGTGCTGATCAGCGCAAGAGTGCCACGACTATTGTCCAGGAGATGATGTCCCGCGGCTACCCTTCTGCTGTTGCCGGCAAGATCGTCGATCTCGTCGGTGCTCCTTCTACCCTTTAACTTTTCCTTTTTGTTCTTGTGACCAGGTGATACCCATTCAATCTTCTTGTGCACCCCTGCAACCATTCCAGGGCTGGATCCCTAGGATTCTACCTTGGCATTCTGCAGGGTGTGGTAATGCCTGGCATTAATTTTCTACTGCTTTTTGATTTTTGGCATTCAGCGTTCGGCGTTTTCGGGGCTTCAAAAACGGGCGTCGTGCATGAGCACTGTATACCATCTTGATTTATGTTCATAGACCATCTCAACTCTACATCGCGCACATAGACGCTGAAATCAATATGAAAAAAATGAATGAGTCAAAAAAAAGAGTCCCTACAGAATCAAAATCGTATGATTCGCGCCCTTTCGCATGTCAGGCATTCCGCTTGTATACTCCGGACCACGTCCTATTCCGGAGCTTTATCTTCTTACCTTGCCACTCCGTCTCTACAATACCTGGGCACTTAAAGCATTGTCCTCAACCCACCTAGAGTTTCCCACTTACATTTACAATTTCATGTCCACCCGAGTCCCCTCTGCACTCCGCCTAGCCGTTGACTCACTCCACCGCGCCCGCCAACCCCGCCTCACAAGATATTCCTCAATCCAACACCCACCCAAAGCCATGGACGCATACGCAGACCCCAACAGACGCCCAAAGAAGCTAATCTGTAAGCCCACCATCCTGCACCTCACAATTCCCATCCCTAACAGCAATCAGTTGCACCAGGCGACATAGCACCAGACACACCAGCTGAACCAGCATCCGAACCCCTCCGCTCCGACACCTCAACCCCAACCTCGACAACAGAAACTCAGGTCCTATCTGGCGCAGCTAGAGCCCACCAATTCGGAACAAATCCCCCTCTCACCATCTCCCAAATCCACGGCACAAACCCCCTGCACCAATTCAACTCTTGGTTCCGGGACACCAGACTGCCTGCTTCTTCGGCACCGGAGACATGTACCCTTGCTACGGCCTCGATGCCTTCTGGCCGTGTTAGTGCCCGCACTGTCTATCTCAAGGAGCTTGATGAGCGTGGTTGGGTGGTGTATAGTAACTGGGGGAGTCGGGAGGGGAAAGGAGGGCAGGTATTTGGTGGTGAGAAAGGGGAGCTAGGAGCTATGCCGGAGGTTAATACGCCTGAAGGCAATAAGTGGGGTGCATTGACGTTTAGCTGGGCGAGTGTTGAGCGATCTGTTCGTGTGGAGGGGTTACTTGAGCCGTTGAGTCGGGAGGAGAGTGAGATGTACTGGCGGACCCGGGAGAGAGGGTCGCAGATTGGGGGGTGGGCTAGTTGGCAGAGTCGGGTTTTGTGGGAAGGAAAGGCTGAGGAGATGGGTGTGCGGCAGCGGAGGAAGAGTGTGGCGAAGTTGCAGGATGGTGATGTGCCGGGGGATATTGATCGGACTGATGATGAGGATGGGAGAGCTTTATTGGAGCAGAGGGTGAGAGAGATCGAGGAGAAGTTCAAGGGCGTCGAGGATATTCCCTTGCCGCCTTTTTGGGGTGGTGTTAGACTTGTGCCGGAGTCGGTTGAGTTCTGGCAGGGGAGACGGAGTCGATTGCATGATCGGTTTAGATATGTGCGTGAGGATGGAGAGGAGGTTAAATGGAGGGTCCAGAGACTGTCTCCGTAGAGTATTGAGCGCATGTGACTTGAGCAGGAGATGTGAACTTCGGAATGTTGGAAGCTGAGCATCCATATCAGTTTATCTTATCTTATCGCCATCGGCCTTGGCATCCCCTTGGACCTCGACGTCGCCTTGCATCCTGATCTTGGGCACCATAGTTCTGCACATAGTCTGCAATCGTCTCATATACCGTGTATAATTTAAGACTAGACTTTTGGTCATGTCTACTGCAACGCCTCCAACCTCGCCCTCCTCGGCCTCTCCCTGGGTTATCCTCGCCATCACCAGTGGCACTTTCGCGGCATTGAACGGTGTCTTTGCAAAACTGTACGTTGCCCTTCAGAATATACGAGGTATAGCTCTATAGGGACCTATATATGTCCACTTGGACATAAAGGGATCTATGCGCCGTATACTTCCGTCCCTGCATGTGGTGTAACCTCAGCTAATTTTCCGCAGAACAACGGACAACCACACAACAGCATTTGCACACTCCATCGCGCATCTATTTGGTCTAGAATCCTCACCTTTTATTGAAATGCTCGTGAGAGGCGTATGTCTTCCCTTCATTGCCTTGACTACAGAACTAACCATATTCAAGGCATGCCTCGGACTCAACGTGCTATGCAATATCATTATGTGGGCGCTTTTCACACGCGCATTAACAGCCGGTCCTTCTACGACGAAAGTCTCTATCACCAACACCGCTTCTAATTTCTTGGCTACTGCAGTGTTGGGCATGGTTGTCTTTCAAGAGGCAGTCGGAGGATTGTGGTGGTTAGGTGCTGGGATGATGGGTGCTGGTTGTATTCTGGTAGGAATGCGCGAAGGGGCTTGACTTGATCGTTTATAGGTATCGCCCCAGCATGTGGGGCTGCGACATATAGACATAGACTCTTATATAGAGAATTCCGTGCTATACCTTCACTTCCATCACTCTTTTTGCCATTTCGGTAAAGTTGTCCTGGGTCCTGGGGACTTGAGGTGGTCGGTATCCCTCAAGATAAGGTATGCGCTCTTCTTCTAGGAGTGTATCAGCATTGAATGTTCAACAAGAGAAAATAAGCCAAAATTACCAAAGAAGGCCCGAATCCATGACTTTGGCACAGCGCCTGCCTCATCATCCCAAAGTGTGGTCAAATAAACCCCCGTGGTACCAGGACTACCCATAAGTGCCAGACTCGAGGCATTGAAGTCTGGATTGACTGCCTGTGCTTCCTTCACCCTCAGGGCACGGGCTTTGGCCGCCATCTCCACGGTGACATATTGCGCCTCCTCGGATCCCATGGTTTCATACAGATGGAGATTCTGAGCAACGGTCTTCCAAACTGAGTAGTCGAAGTGGAGATCATCCCCGAAGTAGATGTCGTTCCTTGATAAAGACCCATCGAATTCGGGCCCCTCGTGCCTTGCCAGATCAACAAGGTTGATCGTCGAGTCGTTACCCGTTGTTGTGATGTTGTATCCTACTGCTTGAGCAAATGCTATGTCAAATGCGGTGGGCTCATAGTTATAAGCACTAGACACGGCGTGTCTCAAAGTGGCGAGGTCGATGTCTTTTCCCGAGCGAGGGAGGTAGCCATGATTGGCCATTGCGTTGAGACCTGGGCATGGAGATCGACCTGGGATGGTTTGTTAAGTGTTCTTGGAGTGAGAAGAAGGTCTGACCTACAGTCGCTTGGGAAGGGTGGGTTCCACTCATGGCCTTGGGATTCCCAGCTCAATGAGCCAGTCACAAGGCTGAAGATGGTGATGTTGAGAGAGAAAAGTTTCATGCTTTCAAGAGTCTGAGAATTGTATTGTGTCTGGATAATGGATAGTAAAAGTGAGGTGGACATCAATTGAGCTTTTATAGATCTTTTCTGGTGTTCCAATGTATTCCTCAGTGATATTTGGCATCGTTGATCAAAGCCACGAGCGTATTCTATACGCGGTCTATGTGACTGAATGAGCCCCATTTTCAAATTGCATACTCCTCATTCGATAGCTGCAGCCCTAGAGTATGATCCACATTTAAGGCAATATAAGCGGAACTTCATTCCTATATGGAAGAGATGTTCGAAAGAGTGTTCGAAAGAGTGTTCGAAAGAGTGTTCGAAAGAGTGTTCGAAAGAGTGTTCGAAAGAGTGTTCAAGAGAGTGTTAAATTACTATATCAGGGTATGTACTAGATAGTTTGAGTCTACCTTAAAGGTGATCGTTTGTAACCTCGGAAGTTGTTTCTACTGGTATATCGGGCTCCGTGAGGCATTATTTCAAACATGAATCTAGCATATGCCTAAGTAATCACCTGTTATACTAGCAAGGTTATATCTACGGCATTGAAGTATTTGTCAACAATAAGCTCCCGGGGTAAGCGAATACGCACTTGCATGAGGCCCCGCTTGGCGCCCAGCGTGACAAACCGGGGCAAGACTCCGGGGCTGTTTAAACGAATTCCTAGCAGAGGTTGGGGGTTGAGTATAAATAACTGTGAAATCACCTAAATTGAAAAGAAAAAAATAAAAAGAAGAACCCCTCCACATAACTAGACACCATTTACAAGATCAAAATTAGCCTACTAACAAACATGAAGTGTTGCTATTCAGTGCCAAGGATGGGCAGAGGCGCAGCGGAAGCCAAACTGCTGGTCGCTCAGCCTCATCTCAGCTTACTCTTTAACCAATGAGACTTTGAACGTCTCATGATTTCTCCAGGGCTGATATCGATATTTGGAATTATCCCTTGATGATTTAAGGGAGCCCTAATGAGAGTATGAATCAGCCCTGAATTTCACCACGAACACTCTTGCACTCACAACCTCAACATGGACGGATCATGCTCTGACGGTAGCGATACAAACCGCAAGACGCGCAGGTCCCACAAGAAATCACGGAATGGATGTGAAAAATGTAAAGTTCGCAGAATCAAGGTGTGTTGAGAAAGCCCTATAGTCTGAGTGAGTGTATTGACCAGAGGCAGTGTGACGAGCTGAAGCCCAAATGCTCAAGATGCTCCAAACTGGGCCTCGCATGCCGATATCCCACAAGAAACAGAATATCAGCGCCAGGTGAAGAATATGAGCAAATTGAACCACCTTTGCAACTCCAAAGATCTCAAAGAACCTTCCTGGCAGCCCTCACTCGGCCGCAACTGTTCAATCTGCTCACATACGACGAGACAGTCGTTCCAATATGGCAACCACATCCAGTACAGATGTTGGCACCTGCAGAATCTGTACTACTGGAACACTATCTTGAACACACGAGCAAAGACTTGACTGTCGATGATGGCGACCAGTACGCCCTTCAAGTCGGAATTCCGAACTTGGCTTTCCAAAGCAAGCCCCTCATGAGATCAGTGCTTGCTTTCTCGGCAATTTGCAAATGCCACGATCTCATAAAGCAGTCTCCAGTATCTCATGTAGCTCGTGGGGAGATCTTGAGCCTTTTACACACCGCAGACCGATATCATATGGAGTCATTACGCGAAATTCAACCAACACTTTCCAAAGTCAAACATTACGACCATATCCTTGCCAATGCAGCCATGATGGGCATGTACGGCTCAGGCAGTCATTGTGTCCGCATCTGGTTGACGGAAACAGCAACATCCACTAACCTAGCGTCGGATGACTTCATGCCAAAGAGCGGGCAGTGGATCAGTCTCTTCCGCGCTGTACGTGTGGCTTATGGAGGCCTGGTCAGACAGGGATCTGGGGCTCAGGACAATCTTCATGATGTGCCGGTTTTCCCTGCTGATAATACGTCAACTTGTCGCGGGGAACTGCAAAGGGGACTGCACGATCATCCGTTATACCCTATCATAGCAGCCACCATCCCATCTGCTATTATAAAACTCGGTAAACAGGTTGATAAAATGCAGGTCATCGATCTACGGATACGTGAAATGACGAGCCCCAATAATGATCGGCCAGATACCGATGCTGCAGCCGATCTCGAAGCATGTCTGACTGCCTTGGGCCTACTGAGGGAAATTGTTGATGAGACCTTTACGCCCAAAGAACCGACATCCTGTGCACCGAGCCACCTCAATCAATGTTTAGAAGCTGATCTCGATCCCAAAAACCAAGGCGCCATGATTTCGCCTTGGATGCGGAGGTACACGGCCAGCATAACATCTATGGTCCCTTCTAAGCTTCCTCGAAGATTCATCATGGCGTTTGTCCACAAAGCCCCGACTAGATTTCTGAAGCTTGTTGAGCAAATGATGGGTTTTATTCGAGATGAAACAGAAACCAACGCCTGCCTAGATTCTCAGGAGATTCATCACCAGAAACCAGATTTGGCCCACCATCTCGCAATGGAAATCTTCGCTCATTGGCTTGTTATGGTTCTTTTATTAGACAATGTGTGGTGGATTGGTGGAATCGGTAGCTGGGAGCTTCGACATATCGTCATTGCCAAGAGAGACGCGCCGTGGAGTGGGAAATTGTGGGATAATAGCGGAGATTGGTGGCCAGAGAGTATGTTGGAGATTAGTAGGCAGCTCAGTAAATACAGGGGGAAATCATGATAGATCATTAGGAATGGGAGGCCACATATAAGTCCTTTCAAATATTCAATTCTCTTGATTATCCCAGTACGAGTATAGTAATGATCTCAAATACTGAATCGTGTTGTGGGGATAGGCCTCTTTTTCAGGTAGAGATTTTGCTATTCTGAGGAGCATAATGTATCACGCCTTTGATGTGGTTTTCAAGGAAGGGAGTGGGATCCTGCCCATTGCCTTCATGTAGGTCCGCAATTCTTTTGGCGAGCGATGAGTCTGTGGGCTTGTGCCGAAAGATTTTCCAGGTATTGCTTTGCCTGGAGAGCCGAAGCAGGTAGACAGGTATGACTATCACTTGAATGTGGTGATGAGAGAGAGCACAGCGAGAGAAAAGGAAGAGGAACCGATTGAATTGACTGATTAGGGAGAGAGAGATGGAAAGGAGAGAATGCCTATGGAAGGAGGGTTTATCTACAGCAAACGAGGGTTGGGACGAACTTCCATCTCAACATGTGGGCGTTGGCATAGTTGTACTCGTCGTTGTTGAAATCGAGTGCAAAGTAGGTGTGTCGTGGCCAAACTTCCACCGCCAAGAGCCGCAAATCCGCCTTTTCTTTCCAAGAATCGACGAGGCCTTTGATTATTTCACGAGTGGAGGCCAGATAGTCTTCAGGGTTCAGCTTTTCGGTAGGCAGGTCACCTAGGATTCGGTTTGAACGATGTGTTTCCAGGGCATCGGACACAGCCTGGTTTATATTCTCCATGAGGCGTAGATATGGCCTTTCACCGTCAGATATCTCATGTGATATAAGAAATAAATGACAAGAGTCTCGGGAACCAGGTGTTGCCAGGTCTCAAGGGCACTTATAAGGGAGTTTTTGCACGGACCAAAACAAGCGGTGAACTTTAGTCATGTAGTCAGTTGCTGTAAGAAGTCTTGACTTCATACAAGACCAAAACGAACCACCGTGTTAGGTTAGCGATTCACTGGAGAACCTCCAACGATTCGCTTCAGAGCCTCCCGGCCCGCAGACAACAAGACGCGGACAAAGAGCCCAAAGATCCTCGGAGCATTTTAGACGGTTCTGGTACCTTCTGCAACTCGCTGAGAGGATTACCTTGCCATAAATCGTCGAGGTCTATTCATAGTAAGTAGTAAGTAGGACTTGAAATAACTATGGCGGATAAAAAGTGGGTCGATCTATAGATGTACTTTCAAGTCTATCAGAACTACTCGTATATTGATAGTGTAAAGCGGGCCCACGGCTAATCATTTTGTAATTCTGTGAAGGACCAAGTCTCAAGGATTCTTATGGTATTAGGGAACAAAAGGATATAGCAATTCGATAGGTCTGGTCTCTTCTATTGGCCGGATAGATTTTGATGTTCTTGTGCCATCTGGCAAAAGGATGAAGCCGGGCTAGAATGAAAACAGTGTAGACAGATTCCAATGCAACTCTTCAAATTATCCAAACGCCGGTGGAGGGAATCTCGATATTGAGGCACAGCATGCTTGTAGTCGTATCGGCATGCACCACTAGATTCCTTTGGAACTGGATCGGGCATCGTATTTGCACGCTCTATTGCTTCGTTAATTACAACCAAGGCAGTCGGCCAAAGTCTCTGTGCCTCGAGTAGCTGCATATAGGCATATGCGTATTTGCTCGTCCATCCACATTTATGGACACAAGCTAGAGCCTCAATCCCTCCAATTAGAATCTCCCCTAACTTAAGCCTCGCGAAGCCTCTTTGCTCTTCCAGCAAGCCTAGATCGCATACTTAGTCCCAGGTGGGTAATTTCACCTAGCTTGAAACTTACAAAAGATTCTCTCGCCCAAAACCGACACAGCATCTTCGCTCGAAAGGGCTAGATAAGAACCACCGTAGTTGAGAACCAGAGCCTTGGTGATATTCCTGAATGCTTTTGCGTTCTGGAACAAACTTGCAGCGGCTGCAAGAACAATAAGATCACTGGCTTCCTTGTTGAGAGGACACAGCCAAAATTCATTGGCATAAGTCAAAGCCTCAAGAACTCCAAACTTTTTCGCGGTGAGAGCGACCCTGAGAACGTCATGTACAGTCGTGAGTTGAGGTACCAGAGTACGCTGATGGTGCAGGATTGCACAAATACATCTCAGCGCAGTCGCATCCTCTTCGGGTAGTAGTATTTCCACTGGAAAGGCTGCCACCGGCGTATCGTCGCCTTCCTTCCAATTAGATCCCAGGATGGCACATCGTAGTTTCGAGGCTGTCTTGAGGAAAAGTGACTGGACGCGGAGCTTCAACTGTTCCGGCCCCACTACTAGAATAATATCACCAGCTGGGGCGATATCCACAACTGGGCAGATGATCTTATTCTGCGTTTCTGTCATGCTGGAATGTGTCACGAGGCACTAAGTGAAGAGAGGAAGAAGGGTCCAAAATAATCAGACATTAAAGCTAGAGAGGAGAAAGAAGAAGAGCAAGAGCGGGGGTATGCTTTTATAGCAGGCAAAGCATGCAAACATGTCAAAAGGCAGCAAACGAGCAAGCAAGCAAATATGGCATGTGATGCATGACACGCGGGAAGTCTTAAAGGGATCCTCCCAGACCCTTCTTCCTTCTGCAAGAATGACAAAAGGATGATCGGTTAACTATACTATCACTAGGCCTCGACGATTCAGAGTGAGATAACCTTCTCAGCGGGAACCCTCTACAAGATTCCAAAGATGTAATTGGAGAGAGGGTCAAGGCGAAGCGCTTCAGGTGTCTGTGAGCTGGAAGGCTCTGAAGCGAATCGTAGGAGGTTTTCCAGCGAATCGCTAACGTACCACTACCACGGGGGTTCGTTTTGGTCTTGTATGAGGTCGTGACTTCTTATATGATCTCCTACTTAAGTACGCCTGAACCTGTACACTTCTTACAGATTACTTAGGTACTAAAGAGATATAAAAACTGATCGGAACTTTAAAAGATATTATTTGTTATCAAATCGTAATTATTGAATTTATTTAGAATAACATACAAAAGATTAAATACAATCAATATATTCTGAATCCAGAAAATGAAGACAAACACGATATCATCTACGAGCTACACATCGCAATATAGACGACCTTTCGAGGGTGGCCCATCAAAGATATGGTCTGTAGTGGTCAGAGTGATCAGAGTTGTTCACTGATTGAACAATCTACTCTGAGAGCCTGAGCCTGAGCACCCTCATTAAAACAAAATCCCACCCGCCAGGGAAAATCAGGTTGCATATGTGAATCCGAAATTGACTGTTCGCACAGTCTCATAATCCCTGGGGTTTTTGCGGTTACCGAAGATCTTCAACGCACGCACAACCATGGTGTAATTTCCTTCGGGCACATATGAGCCGTCGGCCAGCTGTCCCATGAAGGAAACCTTATTGGGACCGGAGATACCAATCTGAGTTGTCCTGGCGACCGCAATTTCAGGGTCCACCACTGGGAAGATAGTGCTGTTATTGACGGCCTTGACACCGACGAGGAGCAGATCCGTGCCCATAGACAGCTTGGTTTGGAAGATGGGGTAGCTGGTGTTTGCTCGATCGGCGGGGTCGTTCTCGCCCGGGAAGACAAGTTGCTCGTTGGCCTTGATGGGCTTCTCGGTAACGCTATCGGTGAGGATGTTGCTGCCCTCCGTAGTGTCCAGGATAGTCACATTGCGCATCGCAGCGGCAACGCCCAGGTAGGGGACGGAGAAAGAGTCATCTGAGCTGGTTCCGTTGAAAGTGACGTATCCGCTGTAGACAGGAATGCGGCGAGAGTCAAGACCCTTGGGCGGAGTGGCAGTGACCTTGATAACGGCTGATCCACCAGCAGGTACGCTAATGCTGGATGAGCTGAACTGAAGCGACGCTCCTTCGGTGGTGCGATCAGTAAAGTTGCCGAGCTTGTTCAACACGGGGACGGAGCTGCTTTCAGACAGGGTGTACACAGTAGCGGCACCGACGTGTCCCACTGTGTAGTCACGCGAGGAGGAAGCGTTATTGCTGATACGGATATAGGCCGGGGCAATGTGCTGGGTGTCGTTGAAGGCAAGGGTGCTGACGTTGAAGCTGGTGGTTGCATGCACCAGCTTGTAGGCATCAATCAATCCACCGCCCTGTTGCGCCACAGATCCCAAGAACGGCGATGCGGTGACACCGTCATGGAATACATTAGGCGTGGCAGTTGTGGTAAGCAATGACCTGAGTTCCGCAGGGGTCAGCTTGCCCTTACCCCGAGCTTCCATCAAGAGGGCAACGCAAGCAGCAGCGTAAGGAGTCGCCATTGAGGTACCGCTCTCGATGGCGTAGCTACCCGCAGGAACAGGCCAAGTTGACAGTATAAATCCACCGGGTGCAGATACAGCGGTCACGGGAAGGAGCTCGTTGCTAGGGCCCCACTGGGTGAATTCACTGATTTGGCCACCAGACTGAGGGTTGGTCTCGTTGATGAAGATAGTCTTCGCGAACTTCTGGCTGACCATGTTGAGTTTGATTTCGGCACCCGAGGCCGCAAGTTTAACCCAGTTCTCGCCAGTCTGAGCAGAGACCATACCCACGCCAGTGAGGGTGGGCTCCACAGTAGGCAGCTCATAGGTGCCAGGCTCGTTGAGGTAGATCAGAACATTCTTGGCGCCAGCTTTGGCAGCATTAGCCTGCTGCAAACTGCTCTTGCAGCCACCGTAGCGAATCAGAACAACCTTGTCAGAGAGATCCGGGTGGTCACCTGTCCAGGGCTCACAGGAGTCACCAACAACAGATGCGTTCAAGCTGCTTGGGTAAAGGGTATAAGTGCCATTGTTGAAGTCAGAGGTACCCGCAAGTTGCCAGCCGAATGGCTTGGTGCCGTTCTGGGCCGAGTAAGTCGCTCCGCTAAGAAGCAGAGGGCTGTACTTGTTGTTGATAGATCCGATTCCAATTCCGCTGCCCGGGGAATCAATGCGGTCCGAGGCCAAGAACAAGCCCAAGCTTCCATCATTGCCGTCGGAAATGAAAGTGGGAATACCAGCATCGGCTAGCTTCCGGACAATTTCTCCACTAGGCTCGTCGCTCCAGCCTTTGTAAGTGCCGAAAGATCCAGAGATGATATCAGACTTGTCCTCATAAGCCATCTTGAAGGCGGCGGTGACTATGTCAGTTTCATACTTGACGTGTTGCGGTCCAAGGATCTTGTAGTGACCGAGGGTCACGTTCGGGGCGACACCAGTGAATCCATAGGGATTGGGTTGGGCAGCGATGATTCCAGAGACGTGAGTTCCTGTAGAATGTCAGCGGGGTAATCCAAATCAAAGCTTTGAATTCAAAGATACCGTGACCAGCCTTGCCCTCCCAGGGATCCGAGGTGTTTGTCAGGAGATTCCAGCCATATTCTACCAAACAGCCCTTACCAAAGCAACCTCCGAGAGCGGGATGCTTGTAGTCAATGCCCGAATCAATCACCGCCAGGCGAATACCACTTCCGGTGTAGCCTTCCCCGCGCAGCTTGTCAACGCCGGTCATGACGTGAGGGTAGTCATTATCTCCATGAGGGGATGCGCCACGGCGTTGGATACCGTGAGAGATATCACGGCGGACGGGCGCACCGTGAGCAACACTCGACGCATCTCGCTTAGGGTTGTGTAGTTCACGGACAGGGGACACTTTCTTCACTCCGGACCAGGAAGAGATTTGCTTGACGATAGCAGCCTCATTCTGGTCGTCTAACAGAGTGAAGGAGCCACCGTGGAACAGATCGAAGGAGAGGTCATGGTTGAGGCTGGCATGGATGCCATGGTCCTCAAGGGTTGTGAGGAAACTAGCCGATGACTACACACATTTAGTACGGAAACTTCATGACGCAGAATAGGAAGACGAACCGTCTTCGAGTTCGCGAATTCGACAATGTATTTCTGCGCGATAGGGTCGCCATGTCCTGCCAGAGCCACTGGCAGGGCTGCGAGGGCGGCGCCCAGCCATGGCCACAAAGGAGCCATATTTAAAAGAATGACTAGATCTATAGAGATCTGGGGGAAAAGAGTGAGTGAGCTGCAAAAAGAGTGTATACCGAGCCCATACCCCTGCCGGGTCCCTGTTTACTTATATTTTCCGCAATAGCCAAGCCGATTGTCTTCAACACTGTGAAGCCCCGTGGGACGGGATCTCGTATTGTCCAAGATCGGCGCAGATAGCTGCCGATCTCCTGTCAAATCTGGCTAGTGCATCAAGCCAAAAGACAGGGTCGCGCAAATGGCTCTTGCCGGAAATGAGATCCATCAATTGACCCATCAATTGATCCAATGGAATTGAGGTTTTCTTCCCGACATCGTGGCCCTTCGGTGGCTGAGAGCAAATTTTCCGCAGATCGTCGCATCGATCGATCGATTTTAGTTTTCAGGGGTCGATTGCGCGTGCATTATCTAGTTTGACATCTCACACGAGCTGTTCCTACTCGTATGGCGTGTGAATTAAATGGAGCATGAGTCCATTCTTAACCGTTAGTTGCCGTTGAAAGAGGGGCTGCATGGATCGGGTCTCAGGGTCCCCTGGTGAGGAGATCAGTGAGAATTGTATGAGCTGTATTGGATAACTGTCTCATTGTGAGCTAGATAGCTGAGTGAAGAGATGAGGGGAGAAGAGGAGAAGGAGAGAAGGAGAGAGCTGGAACCGGATCACCTGACAGGTGATCCCCTTTGCCCATCAGATTGGGTTCTTTCATCTATGTAACTTTCTATTTCGCCTATTGAGCAAACTCAACCTCTTGGAGAGACTTCCAAACACGTTCAAGTCCTTCTTTCAAAGCCACTTTTTGTAAGGTGAACGTAATGCGAAACCAGCCAAGCTCCTCGGGCACATACACACTCCCTGGCGCTATGAGAACACCGTTCTTAGTGCAAATCTCCGCTATCTGCAGCTCGCGCTTTTGGTAAAAGGTAGTGCCAGAAGACTGCACTCCTGAACCACTGCTACCCAGAGACTGTGATGCTTGCTTGGGTACAAACAAGTGGCGGAGATCAACCCAAATGAAAAGGCCAGCGTTCCTACATCAGACAGAGATGAGCTTTTGTGAGAGAGTGGTTCATGATCCAGATTGTATTGACTCACATCTCATAGTAGTTGATCCCTCGGTCTGAGCAAAACGTTGTTGCTATCTTATAGTTCTCTGCCATAAGTTCTGCTTTTTTCGTCATGAATTTCTCCAACCATTCCCGATCTTCAAGCATAGCAGCCCAAATATCTTGAAGTAAATGGGGTGACCAAGAGAATATTCTTGAAATTTCAATTATCAGCGAGGGCAAATTATATTGAGAGGATAAGACTGACCCGATGCTTGACATTGCTCCCATGATACCCTCGTTCTTTGTGCAAACGAGTCCTAGTCGTATTCCATTGGCACAGAAGTCTTTACTTGCACCATAAAGGATATGCACAAGCGATGGATCTATAAGGCTTTGGTAATCGAGAGAAAGGGTGGATATGAAGGGGACTGGGCTCGGAATGGCAGGGTTGGCGAAAGGCGACTTCGCATAAATTTCATCAGATATGAAATGCAGTTGGTTATCTGCACAAAATCTGATGAACGCTCTCAGTGTCTCGGCAGGCTGCTCGAATGGTTAACGATAGCTCAAAGTCAAGCAAAACCTAAAACGAACATAACATCTTCCGAGAGGGTTGTGGGGGCTGATATGATGATTAGTGACGCCCGACTTGGATTTTCTTTCGGATATAAGACGTACTTCGAAATAAGCAGAGCCTTCACGGTGATACCGTCGTACTTTGCTCTACAAAGGGCTGCCTCGAGAGCCTTTGCATTCACATTGGGATTGAATAGATCGTCAAGGTCAGAGTATCCCTTTTATGTCCCGATACGTCACGCCAACCACACGGGCATTGCTTCTGTTCAGTAGATCCACAGTGAAGCCATTGTAAAATGGTTGTGGGACTAAGATACCATCCCCATCCTCACATATTGACCAGGCGAGTCCATCAATCGCACTGGCCACGCCTGGTGTGATGAGGATGTTGTCAGCAGTAATTATCTCTTTGGACTGAAAATCATCATTTAACAAGGCGGCAGCAGCACTTCGAAGACGTCGGGATCCACGGGGCCCTGTGCAGTACGTTAGGTGCTCGGCAGGTTGCACATTGATCTATGTAGTCATGTTCTCAGTTCAGTGCTACAAGAGAAAGCCCGCGTTACTCACCTGTTTGTTGAAGAACTCTACAACTTCATCATGCAAAAGACTATTTTCGGCCAGTCGAAGAATAACACTTTTGGATATCAGCAACTCAATTTCATATAGCCAGCATTTCCCGGAAAGGGATAATATGGGATCATGAGATGAGAAACCCACGTTCCACTGGGGTTACTTGGTGACCATGGATTGCCCATGGACTTCTCGCGAGGCCCCCAGACATCTCGAAACAATGTGTTTTGGGCAGCTCTAGTCGATAAATGATAAGTGGACTTTGCGTCCTCAATGGATTTTCTCTCAGTAGCGTCCATGGTGGATGAGGTGATTGTCATGTGTTTTCGCAATTTCCGAGCAATGAATAGATTTCTTTGACACTTAAAGCCCAGATTCAAAAAAGCAATGATAATGAATCGCGCTGCGGGATGTTTGTTGAAGAAGTAGGATGGTGCCGAGAGACCTCGGCGACTTGATGAGATCCCGCCCCTAAACAAGTTGCCGAAGAATATAATGCACTGGAGCAGCTTACGAAGCCACTAGCCACGTCGCTACTTAAGTATCTGTAGTGGAAATCAATTGAGGACAGAACAGCTGTCGGCCAAAATTTTTGCTTGTCGCTCTACGCTTGGAATTATACAATTCGGACCAAGTTGAATTGGCGAACATCTTCTATAAACTACACTCGTTGCCTAAATTTACCCCAAAACTTGATATTATATCCAAGCATTCCGTCTTGTTATGAAAAAATCCGACCCCACAGGTGGACTGGGCAGGTGCTGTCCATGCCTGATGCGTTCCCAGCCATATTTCCATTATTTTAGCCTGCAGACTCCAGCATCAGGCAGGCTTATAGACGAGAGGTTATCGAATTTTCAATCCGATTTTCTTAAACTAGGCGAGAGACTAGATCTATGCTTTGCGCGGCGCACTCAACATAGAACTAGAGTCCTCGCCGCCTACGCAAAGGCACTGCGACAAGGGAGAGCTCATCGGCATTCAATTAGACCTCGCTCTCAATCGCAATTTTGCCCTTCGTCTCACAGGCTGGGAAAAGAACACCCTGGGGCTAGCTCATGGAGAAAAGAGAGTCTTGGTAAGTATTCATACTGTCCAGTATACATTGGTTCTAATGAATTGTCATGGCAGGAAATCCCCGAGGGCATCTAAAGTCGTCCTTGGAGCTCAAGGCCCGACGAGATGCTCCAAATTCCATGATGCTTTGGCGTCAAAGAAGAGCCATGTCTTCTCCTTTTTGAACTAGCCAGCATTTCGGCATATGCGCATTGAACAAGTGACTATTTTGAAATGCCTCGGGCTCTCAGATGGACCCACTTTGCTTTATAGTTTGATACTAATATTGAGACTTGGGATATGTCATAGAAAATTTCCAGTCATAAACTCTCAATCCTTCAAACAAGCGTGTTATCAAGCTTTAATAACCAATTTCTCTAGCAACTCTCTGGTGTGGCTGGTAGAGAAGTTGCTTCACTTTTGACTTACTCGTTCCCCACAAAGCCTTCAATCTGTGTGCAACTCTCGTCAAAAGGCTTCAGAAGAGCTTCGGTGAAGTCCGACATAAGAATTGAATTGGAAATCCACTGTCTGTATGGATGTGATGGGGCCAGCCTCTGATGCTGAGCATTCTGCACATGCAGAGCGAAAGGAGGTTGACTTGTTGGTCACTTTTGATCCCGAAACGAGCCCGGTATGCTCCTATAGCTTGTCACTCGCTCGCAAATGGCTTATCGTGATAATTATTTGTACGGCAACTGTATGCGTGTAAGTAAGAGCCAATAGTTGAGCCTTTTAGCCCATGGGTCTTAATACTACCTTTTGTTCGCTTGAAACCTTGGAAGTGAAGCTTTACTGATTCCAAACAGGACCTGCACCAGCTCCATTTACACAACAACATATGCTCAAATGGATGCGGAGTTCAACACCAGCCGCCTGCTCTCAACTATCGGGCTCTCGGTATTCGTCCTCGGCATTTCTATGGGGCCGTTGCTCACGAGCCCTCTGAGTGAATGGTTTGGCCGAAAGCCCATTTACCTGGTTGCTTGGTCATTTTTCATCGTTTGGAACATCCCACCTGCCGTTGCACGAAATATTCAAACAATAATTATTGCTCGATTCTTCACTGGGTTCACTGGTGGCACTTTCTTGGCCGTTGCGGGCGGCACTGTGAGAGATCTTTTCTCGGATCACAGCATTCAGAAACCGATGGCACTTGTTTCGGCAGCACCTTTCATCGGCCCTTGTTTCGGTCCTTTGATCGGTGGCTTCATTAACTTCAACACTCATTGGAGGTGGACATACTATTTTGTGATCATTTGGTCGGTTGTTCTGCTTGTGTTGATATCAGTCTTCACGCCAGAAACTTACCATCCAGCCAAGCTACAATCCGCAGCTAAGAAACTTCGCAAAAGGACTGGAAATAATCGATATCAGGCTGCTGTGAATCACGGCAACCAAAGCAAAGGACGAATGCTTCTTATCTCCCTTCTACGGCCATTCCAGCTCCTCTTCTTGGAACCCATGTGTCTTTGCTTGAGTCTTTACTCGGCTCTTCTTTTAGGAATTCTGTACCTCTTCTTTGGTGCTTTCCCGCTCGTCTTCCAAACACAATATGGCATGAATCTTTGGCAAATCGGTCTAACATTCTTGGGAATTATCATTGGAATGATTGCCGCGGCATTAAGTACACCAGTGTGGATCAAGGTCCGCCAGCATCTGTTGAATAAGTCAAAAGAAGGGGCTGGAGTGCGATGTCCGGAATACCGGCTGCCTCCAGCTATACTGGGTGGGTTCTTGACTCCAATCGGACTATTTTGGTTTGGCTGGACGACTCGACCCGACATTCATTGGATTGTACCTATTTTGGGCTCTGGGGTTTTTGGATTGGGGTAAGTGTGCCGACTTAGATTCAACAGTGGAAGCTAATGACTCGAACCGAACAGAAATCTGTTGACTTTCATGGGGATCTTCACATTTCTTGTAAGTCAATATGTTGGAGTTACAACTTGTTCTTCCTGGATTTCAAAGCAGGGGCAGTCTCAACTGACACAAATAATCCCAAAACAGGTTGATGCCTATCCACAGTATGCTGCATCTGCACTCGCCGCTAATGGATTTGCAAGAAGTTCATTTGCTGGTAAGGCTCAACTGCAGTCAATCACATGTTGATATTTGCTAATGTTTTGCTCAAAAGCCGCCTTCCCTCTTTTTGGTATTCAGTTATACCAGGGTCTCGGGTATCAATGGGCAACTAGTCTGCTCGCATTCTTGACAGTTGCGATGATGCCATTTCCGTGCATCTTTTTCATTTATGGAAAAGCCATTCGAGGAAAGAGCAGATTTGCAACTGCCAGCTGAGGAGAGTAGAGGGGCTCTGGAAGATGATATGGTTATAACTTGTACTCTTAATTATATACAGAGGAATGATCGATCATACCGAAGGCCATGGACGTATTCGTCTTGGCCTCGATCTTCAAAACGCTAACAAGTGGTCATCGGCCTTATACATAAGTATCCTACGAAGAGCTGGTCGACATAATTTTTGAATACTTAAGTATCAAACACATCCTTCGATTGATATAATACCTGATGGTACTATGATTGAACATTACTGAAGTAAACCATCACTGAAGTAAGCCACCACTGAAGTAAACTACCGCTGAAGTAAACCACCACTGAAGTAAACCACCACTGAAGTAAGTCATCACTGAAGTAAACCATTATTGAAGCAAACTTCAATCTCTGTTAAAGTAGTGCTGTTGATAGCCTTTTAATAGACTTTTCACTTTTGCCCCCAGGGGCTATAAACACCTTACTACCAGTAATCCAATCTTTGCCGTTTGAAATCAAAAACAAAAATCCCTCCTGCATACGAAAAAACTTTCATTCAATATCAATCACTACTCAGTTGATTTGGCCTCAGGATTTTCATATGAAACAAACATAATTCTCATTCTACTCGTTCTTGAACAAGACCATAGAGTTGATGACCAACAGCATGACGGACATAACTCAGCCATGAACTTCATCACGTCCCTGCCGGCAACAGCAGAGGATGATGGACCTTCGGAAACTAATGACGACTCGAGGTCTATGGTGGGCGGCAACCAGCAGCCTCAGCAGTTTCAGCAGATAGGCTTCAACCCCTTCCTGGCTCCAACCGTGAACGAGACCGTTGGAACCAGAGTCAGTTCCAGAACAGGGGGTCAAAGCCAAATTCGGAGTATGCTCAGAGTCCGCCGATAGCCTCCAGGAAGAGCATGATCGGGCAGATGGTCAACCCCGGAGGCAAGGTCGTGTCCCAGCACGTGATTGTGCTCGACAGTATAATCGGAAGCTTGAGTGAGTTTATAAGCGGTTACAAGGACTTAAACAACAATATGATCGAGATTAACAATCAATAGGTCCAGTTGTTTGGACTCATGGAGAACAACAACATCCGCAGCATCGAGCAGATCGCGAACCTGGACAACTACTTTGACAACTTCGTGGACTTTACCTCAAGCATTAAACGGAAGATGAAATCGACTTACGGCCTGGTTTAGTGGCCTGGATACAATGAAAGAAAAGGCTGAGGACGACATCGAGATTGTGGGAGGAACCTGAGCGATGTCAAGATCGATTGTGCCAAGGAACAGATCACTATGGTCGAGTACATCTCCATGATCGTGGCTGAGTACTTGGAGACAAATGAGGGCGTGAATCCCAACATTAGTGTGATCAGGGACATCATCGAGCTCTTAAACGACGAAGGCACGTCCAAGGATTTCATCAAGATGATTCCGACGTGGATGCGCAACACAACCTCCGCCATGGAGATGTTCACGTTCTTTGAGGACGACTCTGAAACGGACAGTGACAGCACCGCGGAAATCATATGGATGGGCATATTGACACAAGAGGTTTTCGAGCGCAACTTCAAAACTGGGAATATGAGTTGCCCAAGCTCATGGATGAAGGATTTCCACGAAGGGACTTATGCGGATGATGTCTTCAACACAATACACAATGCTTGTCAATTGAAAACTGAAAGCCGGGACAATAGGATGGAAGAGCTTCGTGGGTTTGAAGGAACAGCATCTTTCCAGGTCAGTCTATCTTAAATCCTACTCAACCACCCTCTGGGCTATCTGTTACGATGACATGCTTTATAGCATATTTCCATCTGCCCATTCCTTTACTTCATCTCACTTCAACCTCACTCACCCCCCTCTCTCCCAGACTTTCTTCCATTCTCGGCTTTTCTTTCAACGTCACTATCTCGCATTAAACCCAGGTTCCTCACTGACATTATATCAGATATCGTTCGATGCAACGAAGCGTCACCGCAGACTGTCACTTCTCGCATGGCTCACGCCAGCCTGGAAATTACTTCATTTCACTCCTGCTTTCGCAATACCATTCCGAGTTCCTGTTATCTTCAGTATGCGGTAGCACCATGGGAGAGGCCCTGCGAAGGGAGCCGAGGTGATTGTCCCAAGAACTGGAGTGGCCGGAATGGAATGCCTCGCATCGATTGGGAATGCGAGATACTAGTAGTCGAGTGTCACGTGGCCATGATTGCTTGCTTTTCTAGTCAACTATTGATAGGAATACATACAGTCATCTTTCTTCCTTTGTTTCTGTGCCTTACCGCCTCACAGGGGGAATGGAGTCCACCCTTGGAAAGAGATTGATTTGACTACATATCTGAAGTATTGGGCTCCCCTCTCCCAATGGTTTCAGGGGGCAAGGAGAAGAGAGGACCTGTACTCTCATGGAGAAGCAAATCACTATCAAACATATTGTCAACATATCCAGCCCAGAACGAATCATTCATGACCTGATCACTCAATTGCGAAAGATCACCGGCATGAATATTCCCAAACTCCGACCGATGAATGAAAGACGGTTGCGGGCCTTGATCCCTTCTCAGATGTAGGCTCTGCGGTTCATTCATGGGCTGAGATGGATTCTGAGAGTCGGTTGTATGTTGTGGAAAATCCGAGCCCATATCGCCCCAGGCCGCTGTGTTTCCGCCATCATTCACAACATTGGAGGTGACACTGATTATGGATCCTCCAGCACCGGAGCTCAGACCTGTTAGTCTTTTCATTAAATTCACAAAGGCCTTCAAGATCCAGGTTCTGACAGGCCATGACGCCAGTTGACTCAACGCAAGCATGCACTGTCGGGACTTATTTTGGGCTAGTTCGCGGCGGATTGGATCATTGCGGCATATGGAGATTGTGTTGATAGCGAGTGCACCGAATAATGCGGGGACGCTGGCATAGGGTTAGTTCACAAAGTGGCTTGTTCTGAATGTGCACCATCTCGGTTTCAATCATACAGGTGGATTTGTGCATATTTAATAGCACCAGTGGCCAAAAGATCTTCCGCAAGTCGAGTTATACGATCAGCAGCCATTCTTGCTCGTGAGTCTCTTTCGGTTTCTGCAGATGAGAGGCTTTCAATAGCCTTGGGTCGGAATATTAATATATGGTAGTTTCTGAACTTTGTCAACTCTGCCCATAGTTTGGGGTTCAATCGATAGTGTCTTACTGATAAGAGAATTGAAGCATGCTTGCCCAAAACGATGCCCCCAGTGATCCATCTGGTGGCGTGCTTTGTAGTTGGTTCGGCAGCTGGGATTCCCATTGTGCGAGTCTGGCCGCTAATGCACCTGTTTCAAACTTCTCCATTGCAGGTCGCCTGGGGCTAAACTCTGCTTTGAGAACATCACCCACTAATGAAAAGAATCAAGGTTAAAATTGCGCAAGGGGGCTAGTTGTAGATCTTGATCTTTGCTCACATATCACGGTCAGTTTGGTCATCTCAAGGAAATATGAGATATGAAAGTCCTTTTGAGGTGTAATGAGACTCTGGTCGTAATCATTATCAAAGAGAAAGTCTTCTGCAGTTGGTGGTTCAACATCACAGTCCTCGTCCTGGATACGGCAAGGTCTGCCAAAGGCTGCAGCAGTGTGGCGATCCCGAATCTATACAGATTAGACATGCAAAGATGACCTGTAGCCAGGATTACGCACATAAATCGACCACCAAATTCGTTTCCACAAAGATCTCACGGAAGGACTCAGCCCATACTCCGATATTCTAGAATAATGTGAGCACGTTCCCTGCAGTGTGTAGATGTCACGTACGAGCGATGCATTCCTGTAGACTGTGCGACATTCGTAGCACATCCAACCCAGTAACAAGTATCTTTCTGATCTTCGGGTCCAGCCCACCAGAATCCCAAAAGCAAAAGACATGCCACGACATTTGATCGGTCGTTGTCATAATCGGCATCGTATAATGCCTTCGCACGGAGGTAGTGCTTTCTCCTTGCCGTCGCGCGGCTACTGTATCCGGCTTCTTGTACAAGACTCTCGCTACCAATCGTGAAGCCAAGGAGGAATATTGTATGTAAAACCAGAGGGGATGCTTGGTTTTGGGAATATGAGCTCGCGAATTTCTTGCGATCAAACACAGGGTAGGCTGGGTGAATGATCTCAAAAAAGGTGCGGACCAGCTGATCGGCAATATCTTTGGGAGGTAATTCTAGGGCTTCCTGCAGTGAGACCGGTTCCTTGACCTCGGTTTCATGACTGGGTGCCGCTCGGTTGCTGATTGAAGCTGGGATCGGATAGCGTACTTTCAAGGGCTCCGAGGAGCCTCCTTTGGGGCTGTAGACTACCTCGACAGTGTACGATAGACTAGAGTCGCCTAGGTGCTGTGGGCGTAAAATCGGGTTTATCTGATCAGACTGAGGTGGCTGGCTATGCTGAGGCGGTCCCTCTCCCTCGTGCGAAGGCTCTAAGCGTGTGGCACCATCATTTGTGTCTAGAGTATTGGCTCTGTCGGATGCATCGGCCACATTGGGAGATTCTCGATTTCCTCTGATGGATGTGGCTCTAGGTGTCTTTGGATGCTTCGAGGCCCGTGGGCTTTTCCTATGACCCTCTTTTCTCCGAGTATACCTGCAGGCACTTGAGCTTCACGTTCCAAATCAAATGGTCTTGCAATGTGACATCACATACTTTCCTCGTCGGGATTCAATCAGTTCGCAGGGCGTTTGACGTATGCGACAATGCCAGCAAGGCTGTCCTTCTCCCGCATCACATTTGACCCGCCTTTGATTACACGCTTTGCAGGCCACTCGTGTTCGCCGGAGGGTGGGGGTTTCAAGTGAACCCCCGTTGCTCGGGCTCTGAGTTGTTTCGTCTTGGCCTGGGGTCTCCATATCCGAGTCAGCATTACACTGCATCGGCGGGTTGCTTTGCAGGATAAAACGCCGTGGCGATTTAGCAGGTCACAGCCCGAGATACCTCGGGTTCTTACCGTTGGCCAATCAGGATCTGCCCAGCCTCATAGACGTCAAGGGCAATTTTCAGAACTTTTCGTCGGGGGATTTAGGTCTAGGTGAGATATTGAATGGAAAAAATCAGGGCACATGTCACCTTTTCTTTGTCAGGTGGTAAAAAATACAGGTGAATGGATCAACGCTTGGTATGTAACAAAGTCTCTATTTGAGTACCCGTATAATCATAGATATTCTTCATCGAATCATGGGACGGTCCTCTCTGTCTTCTAATTCCACGACAGCGTCCTCCTCTGTCCCCTCCAATATGTCCGAAGGCTCTGTCCGGCCAGTAGTATTGCGTTCGCGCAGTCGCACCGGTCGTCGGGAGGTCTTGCCAGAGACAAACTTGGCCACTTTTTGAATAAGACGCCACAAACGTTCTTCTATAGCTTCCGGGGCAGGGGTGTTTGGACGGCCGCCAAGGGTCGAAAGTTCCGGTGAAGTCGATGCCAGGGTATGTTCCTCTGCCTCAACTTTGAATTGATATTTCAAGCAGTCCTTGACGGTAACCAGTCCAGTAAGTCGACCGCGGTGCTCGACGATAATCACTCGAGGTCCCATCTTTTTGAAGATCTCCATGACCGTTTCCAAGGGATGACGTGGGTGTACAGTGAGCGGCGTGTGGTCGACATAGCGTGAGAAATCAACAACATTAGCCCCCACACTCCTGTGGATTGCATCAAATGTATCCGACGACCGTGCTTGGTGGGATACAGATGCCCTTCGGGCAACGGCTGCCTCGGCTGCTTCTCTAGTGAAGACACATCGAGCGTTTGGGGCTACCATGCCCTCATTGCGAGCACGGTCAATGGCATACCGGAGCTCGGTTCGCCCAATATATCCAACAAGGGTCTTGGAGGTGCGGTCTTCCACGACAGGGAAGCCCTGGAACTTGTTGTCATTTAGAAGATGCTCCGCTTCACGGACTGGGAAGTCCGACGCCGGTAATGAGAGTGGGTCTGTGGTCATTGCATGCGAAACAGGCACATTGAAAACGTGATCTTCTTTGTTATCAAGGAATGGGAACCCATTAAACCAGATCATTCGGTCGGCGATGCCGCCACTGCCAAATCGGTCGCCAATCGCTTTGGTGACACCTACCACAATCTAATAAGGAGCGAAGGTCAGCTTGAACAGATGAAGTTGATCGATTTGGACACATACCATGGTTGGCAAGATGTAAGTCAGAGCACCAGTAATTTCAAACATAATTACTGTCACAGAAATCGTCAAGTGCATGATTCCACTAAGGGCTGCTCCAGCTCCCAGGAAAGCGTAAGTTCCAGGTGTGATGCAGGGAACATCGGGCTGGCATGATGCGAAGAATGCCGAATTAGGGAACGACTCGTGCAGAGCCTGCACCATAATCCCGACCATACGACCGAAGGACGCTCCGATGGCCATCGAAGGTACGAAGATACCAGCTGGCACCTTACAGCCATAGGAGATGATGACCAGTCCAGTGCGAAGGATGGTGGAAATAGCCAAAGACAGTACCATCGACCATCTATTTTTAGCGCTGTAAGAAGTTAATATCATGCTTGTAGGTTTTCCGGGTGGGTTTCATACTCGCATAGGCCGTGGTAGTCGTGGCCACCCTCACATTCGCGGAAGAGAATTTCCATCATTTCGGTCATGTTGATCTTCAAGAACATGTTGGGGAAGCACAGCAAAGCAGTGAGTCCGGCGAGGACGACCGACTCGGTTATGGGCCATTGTGACAGGTACTTCTTGCGGAATGCAGCAACGCGAAGATTCCACTTGATCACAAATGCACCGTAGAGTCCACCAAAGATACCGAGGCCGACGAAGAACAGCAGCTCGAAAAAGTGCCAGGTTCGATCGTATTCCACTTGGAACATGACCAATTGGCCTGTTCGGAAAGGATTCACAGCCTAGAGGGAATGAGCGACAAACAGATTTTCATCGGGGCTCAAACGTACCGCAAGGACACTAGTAGCCACCAAAGCACAGAAGTAACTGCGCCAGAGAGTCTTCAGGGGGAAGTAGTTTGCCATCTCCTATTGATGAATTAGCAGCCATCCAAAACTTTCACAGACCATATGACCGACCTCCAGGGAGAACAACACGCCTCCAATTGGACTGCCAAAAGCAACAGCTACGCCGGCTGCCGCTGACGCAGTCAATATCTCTCTCGTTTTCGACGCATTCCGCTTGTATTTGCCAAAGAAGCGCGATATCACATTTCCTGTGCACACTGCGAAATGCACACTTGGCCCTTCCTTTCCAACAGATAAACCCGATGCGATTGCCAGTGGCAAGGCAATGGATTTTATTATCAGAGTCCAGGCGCCGAGGAATCCTTTCATAACAAAACCAGCAATAATGCATTTGATCTCGGAGATACCAGATCCCGCGGCATAGGGCGCAAATGATTTGACCAGAATCGCTGCGATAGACGAAAGCATCAACTAAAATAAAACAGAATGAGTCAATCTATGCCATTTCCAGAGGGATGATACCAGCTTACCGCGCCAAATAGATAGACGATGTAATTGAACAGCCAGAATGAAGTCCAATGCTTCCACTCCGGGCACCCTATAGTCCTGTTAGTTATCTCACTGGATGCTTCCTAGTGTGAAGCTGATCATACCATCTTCTGCGCCCCAGCAGCAGAAGTTCTCGTTGAGGTAGAATGCGGTAGTACAATGACCCAATTTAATATCAGAGAGCCACTCCGTTATGATATTGAGCACAGCTGAATTCAAGCCAATTGCTAAGCCCACAAGCGTGACGACAAGCCATGACTGGCCAGCATCATAGGACTCGTACACTTTTCGTCTCCATCCAAAGATGCCTTCCTGGTCCCAGAACCTGACTCCGCTGCGCCGCTTAGCACGTCGCCGCGACTGCTCATAAACAGCATCCTGTACCCAGTCTATGGTAGTGAAATCCTCATAGCGCTTGATCTCACTGATCTCTTCTGTGATAGCGGGGGCTTCTTGACTGTCGGGAACGGGGTCGATTGGGGAGGGAATGGAACGTCCGGATGCTCTTCGAGAATTGCGACGTTCTGTAGAAACTGAAAGCGACCGGGGAAAGGTCGGGGATGGGCGCGGAGAGGTCATAACATATATCAAAGAGATGGGATCAGCATAGTCGACTTAGAGTTGACTCGATGACGACTTAGTTCGCGGTGAGCGCCGCTGTAAGGATGTCGATTTCTAGGCCAGATTTTGCTCAGGGATCCCGCTGGTAGGTCTGTGGGCTATAGGCGACAAACCCAGAGCGAGGTGCAGGGGTGAACGAAGCACTTGGAAGTAGATGATGTGAACAAGCGAAGTCGCCAAGTATCGATAACGGAGCCTCCTGAGATAACGCGGCCACGCGTTTTACCTCTCTCGACTCCACGGCTGCACACGCTTATTACAGAGCAAAGTCTATGTGAACTGTTTCATTTCCTCTTTTAGCAGACACACAGATATTCACCATGGTTCCAAAGCCCATCGGAGAGCCGGATGAGATCACCGGCCAGAGTGCACTTCCCAGTATGTCCCTATTGACTCGGTGTTAGCTTGTATGGATGTCCCTGACAGGGTCTCATAGTTTCTCGTGTCAAGAAGATTATCCAACTGGACGAGGATATTGTGCAATGCTCGAATAATGCGACCTTCGTCATTGCAATGGCTACTGTGCGCCATGCTCCCAAACATCGTCCCTCGAGCGCCCACTAACCCAATCGTTAGGAGATGTTCATTAAGCATCTTGCCGAACAAGGATACAATGTGGTCAAGACTGAGAAAAAGCCTCGCAAGACTGTTCAATACAAAGATCTTGGTTCGTCATTCCCAAGTCCACATTTCACCGCAAGTTGGACGGTACTAACGCGCAATAGCCTCGGCGGTGTCACACACTGACAATCTCGAATTCCTATCCGACGTGATCCCTAAGACTACGACCTACAAACAGTTCAAGGAGAAAAAGGCCAAGGATGCGGCCGACCAAACCGCTATGGAGAAGGGCCAGCGTACTCTCAACGGGGCCAGTGCACCACCACCACCGCCAGCCAACGGAAACAGCATGGGAGAAACCTCGCCCAAGGGAGAGGAATCAAGTACCACATCTCCATCAGTGCCTCGGCCAATGGTGCCTGTCAGCGCGCTGATTGCGGATCGGACTGTTGAGCCCGTGGCCACCCCTGACCATGACGTGGAAATGCAGGGCTGAATTGGTTTGTCGGTTTCTTTATTGAACAAGTTATTTGCATTGGAGTTTGCTGGTTGTGGGTTGCGCACTTGTGTTTTGGCAGTGTATTGGTCGCATTGGGTCGGGTTAGATGATAGGGAAAACAACACAGAAGAGAAACCGTTGACCTCAGTATAAAAAGAATTCCAAATTGAAATAATTAGCATGGCAACCTATTGCAAAAAGTTATTCAAGTCGATATGTTGTTGTAGTAGAAGAATGTTTAGGGAGTGAACGGGAACCAGTCAGCCAATGACAGGCCCCGTGATTCCGATCGCTAGCGAAAGCTCTGGCTCCAACTTCAACTTCCGACTTCATCCACCCTCTATCCTCACCTCGCCCTCCACACTCGCGGCTCAATTCCCTCCGTGGTCAATTGCCCTCATAATGTCGCTCTCCTCCGCTTCCAGCACTTTGCTGCGCACCGTCGCCCGGCAGCAAGTGCCCACCTCCCGCGCCGCCGTCACCTCCTGCCAGCGGAGGGGAGTTGCCGATGCGAAGTCGTCCTTCGAGTCTCCCTTCGCCAGCGCCAATGAGCGTGGCTCCACCCTGAAGATCCCCAACTTCAGCAAGTACAAGTCCAACTCCTCGCCTCGCTCCAACCAGGTCTTCTCCTACTTCATGGCCGGCTCCCTCGGTCTCGCCACCGCCGTCGGTGCTAAGGCTACTGTCCAGGGTAGGTTTTTCAGTGCTTGGTCTTCGAATAAAGAGGTGGATTAGCAAGGGCATGCAATGGGCTTGATAATTGTTATCATTTATCCCTTTAGGGAGAATTTGCGCGCTCCGGAACAATCATGGCTGATGTTTGTTCTTTTCTAGACTTCCTGGTCAACATGTCCGCCTCCGCCGATGTCCTGGCCCAGGCCAAGGTCGAAATCGCTCTCGGTGCCATCCCTGAGGGCAAGAACGTACGTTTCCCCCATCATCGTCAAATCCGGCAATTCCACTCCCGAATCGTCTTATCTAACCCTTCCAACAGGTCATTATCAAGTGGCGTGGAAAGCCCGTCTTCATCCGTCACCGCACCCAGTCCGAGATCGATGAGGCCCGTGAGACCAAGTGGGAGGGTCTCCGTGACCCCCAGTCCGATGACGACCGTGTCCAGCGTCCTGAGTGGCTCGTCATGCTCGGTAAGTCGGAAATCCGCATTTCACCAATTCACTCCTAACCCTTCTACCAGGTGTCTGCACCCACTTGGGTTGTGTCCCCATCGGTGAGGCCGGTGACTACGGCGGCTGGTTCTGCCCCTGCCACGGTTCCCACTACGATATCTCCGGTCGCATTCGCAGGGGTCCTGCCCCTCTGAACCTGGAGGTTCCCTCTTACAACTTCCCCGAGGACGAGACCCTTGTTATCGGTTAAGCGAATTGTTGAATACACCCTTTTTTGACCGCCGCCCATGCGGATTGTCTCACTAGACGTGTGGATGAGATAAAGATGGATTTGTATGTTCATCTGTGTATGTGCTTGTGTTTTGTTTTTCCCTTTTTTTAGACAGAGCGGCCGTGTGTCTTGTCAAGATTAAGAGGCCTGTGTTTTAATATGGACAAAAAAAATCAGCCACTTTCTTCCCTTTGTTGTCCCTATCTTCCTGGCTGTTGGTCTTCCCATGGCACATACGAACCGTGGGCTTGGGCCGAAGCTAGGGGGTGTCCTGGCAGTGCAGAGGATGTCCTATGGTCTCCTTGAGTACATACTTATGTTCTTTATTTAGTGTATCACCTAGTCATGTTATTTCTTTTGTTCTGGCTCAAGATTCTGCCATGTAGGATGTATCGAGTGTCCGGTATTCAAATTCATAGATTCCGAGAATGAGGCTGTAGTAATAGTACACTATACTCGAATTCATCCGCCTGAGTATCTTTCTATCTTCAACTGTATGTACAAGTAGATCCACCAGGGCAGTCTGTCAAAATGACCAACTATGAACTCTGACGAACATGTCTGGTCCACAATGATATGAACAAATCGCAATTCGCTCAACGTGAGATTCTGCTTTACCGAGGTCCAAGTAGGGCGAAAAGGAGACTGGTCATGACCACACCAGCCGCTGCACTCTGAATGGCCACGGTTGTGAGATCACGCTGAGATGCTGTGATATCGCGGTCACTGAATAGTTCATGGTACACTTGAGTCCAGTACTCAAGTGAAGAAATAGAGGAGGTGATGTTTAACAGACGAGTCTGCAGAGACTGAGACGCAGGGGCGTCAGTTGGAGCGATAACAGTCGCCGTAGTGGGATCCTCCGTGTCCGTGACGTGCTTCGGCTCCACCAACAACGAAGGGGTGGTGTCCGATGTGGAATCAATGGTCTCGGGAAGAGTGACGGGGAGGGCAGAGATGGAGACAGCGTTCTCAGCGAACATAGCCCGGTTAAGGACCTTCTCTTTCTCCAGAGCTTCAACGACCTTATCCTCGAAGCCCTTGACAAGTCTTTTCCTGCGCCATGGCTCGACAAGAATCTGGAAAACAAGGAACAGCAAAACATTGACTCCCATCAGACCCCAGGTTCCCCATGTGGACATGCGACGGATCTTGTCAGACCAGACCTGCTCCTCGTGGTATCGGGAGAGAATGCTCTTGCTCAGCTGCGCAGCTGCCTCTTCAGCTTCACGCTCTGAGGCCGATAGGGCATGTGAGGTCTCTGTTTCGGCGACTTCGTTGGTATGATCGTTGCGGTAGAGGAGGGTGAAGCGCTCCAGGTCGGTTGAAGACCAAGCATGCTTGCGTTGAAGCAGCTCATTCACTTCGCGCTGGGACATGGAACGGCGGTTGATAGCAGCAGTATATTCTTCCTTTGCATGTTTAACGTGTGATCGGGCGGTGCGGAGTCGTTCCTCTATGGTTTGGGCATTAGTGTCTGAAGCCTTGACCGATTATCTGTGTGCATACCTTGGAATTGGATCTCCTTCTTCAGAGCTTCAATGCTGGAGTATCCAGTCAGATCATTCAACCGCTGACCTGCCACGAAGACATTTGACTGGAGATTATCCATAGCTGTATCGAACTGCTTGGACCATTTTGACCGACGACTTTCCAAGTATGAAGGTAACCCCCCACTCACTCGAGGGTTCTCTTCCTGTGGAGCTGGATTTGCCTCCTCCTTTTGTGATTGTGTGTTTGCTGGGGGTTCTGGGACAGGCGGACCCTCAAAGGAGCTGCCCGCCTCCACACCCGGGATCGGTACCGGGTCGCGCGAGGCGAGCTCCAGGTCAGCCAATTCCTTCTCCTTCTCTTTAATTAACCTCTCGGTATCAGCCGAGACTCTTTCTCTATCATTGAAGTCCGCAAATGTCGCTGACTGCGTGCGGAATTGGCATTGTAGGCAGGTAGAGAAGCTCCGCGGGATCGGTCTAATGGGAAATGCAGTTGAGGTAGGGCGGAACCGATCTCGCACTGGGGTTGTACGGGTAAGTTGGAGGCTTGAACGGATCGTTTGCCTGAGCAGTTGTGGCATAGACTGCATGGCCAATATGAAGGCCACAGGCTCGTGGCGGGGAGTTGGGTGCAGGAAGAGCGGTAGGATCATCTCGGGACGGAATTTGGCCTCGGATAACCTTATCAGATTAACGGTTTGCTCTAATCGCTTTCTAGTCTACTACGAGGCTTGGGGAATTGGATTTTTGTGGCTTGTATTGAAGTTGAGAATTGCTCTATCTTCTGTTTTGACCTTTTTAGCTGATTTGAGCCCGTACATTAAGTTGATTTTGTAATTTGTTGAGCCCCCGGTAAACATATATTTCTCAACCAAAAGCATCCACCAACAAGCCAGTGTTACCTGTAGACCCCGACCAAAATACGGAGTATAGCAGATATACTTAAGTGCTCAAGTGATCACTCTGTCAAAATTGAAAACATTCGAAGCCATCAAAATCTAAGAAGCTACTTAAGTACATCTAGTGACTTGACATCTTTTATTGGTTACTTTAAGTATCTAAACCCGGACTTATATTGTCTCTCATTGATTGGGCTTGATGATTGAAGTGATGCCCGGGCCCAGGTGCGTACAAGACCAACGAGGGGGAAAACGCGTACTTAGGTATACATCATTCAAACTTTCGAAGTTTTGCATATGCTACTACACATTGCTGAGAGCAAGTCGGAATAGGCCAACCGGTGTCACTCAAGCACAGTCAGCGCGCACCCTTGGGGTATCAAAGGGCAATTGCATGCCAAGTTGGCTTAGGGTTGAGACACGCTCAACCGCCTCTAGGGCGATAAGTAACTTGCGGTAGCATATGCTGAACCTCGAAATTCAAACGATATATCACAAGACTAGGAAATACAATCAGAGAAAAGCCGAGTTCCCGTCGGCAATCCTGAAAAAGACCAGAGGTTCAGAATACAGAACATTCCTTCGTTAAAATCATAGCGTTACAACACAGTTCTTCCAAAGGCATTAGAGATACTGCGCAAAAAAATCAGGGTATGGGTCAAAACCAGATGAATCGAAGAGCCAGAACCGACGGTCAGGAGTGGAAGCCGCATGCATGCTGCATAATATAGCCTTGGCTTTATTCCTGACTTTGCACCTTGTTGTCGCCTCGCACAGCTTCCGCGTACGTTGGTGGTGGGTTCGCACTGCTGCTCCCATTTCCGCTGTCCTGGTTGCCTTGTGCGTTTGAGTTCTTCGCGGGCGCCTGCTGGCCCTGAACCGTGCCGTATCCGCGCTGAGACTGAGGTTGATCCTGCGGGGACTGGCGTGAGACATAGTAGTAAGTGACGTTTCCATTCTCGAGATCACGTCGCTGACTCCCACCCCCGGGAATGGGCTCATAGGATATGGCGTCATAATCGGGTTCGGGGTTTTTGAAAATGATGTACCAGGCATGGATAAGGCCTGGAAGGAATCCAAGGCAACACAGGGCGAGGTTGATGACCGAGTCTGCAGTGCAGAGTCCCACTTTGACCCATACTGATACACATGTCTGATCAGCGGCGCTCACAGATCGCAAACCTTGGGGATAGACTCACCTGCAATGGGCGGGAAGAACACGGCGAGAACCGCCAGGAAGATGTCGGAGCTGCACATGATTATTGAAAGCTGGTGATGAGTCTAGTTTATGCGCGTTTAGTTCCCCACGGAGTGTGGCAATGGGCAAGAATGCATGAGTCTCTGAGGTTTGGTGGGAGCCTCCAGATCAGATGATGTCAATGAGATCATGTGACCGAGTCTTATTTGAGGAAAGTTGCTTCTCGACGTCTCCTTCTGCTAAAGTTTGTTCACTATCGACTTTTCACAGATACTCCCTGCTCCATTTGGTGATCTACTCGTATTCATCTATTCACTGATCTGAAGATCCACCAAGAGAAAAAAAAATCGGACTCATCGGTTGCTCTAAAAGCGGGGACACCCAAGTATTCGGTACTTCCAGCTAGCGGTTTCCAGCGACCTGAAACCAGGTACCGTGTACTCCGTCCCGTGCCGTTGGCAATATCTTGAGTCAAAAGTTGCCCCTCGCATTCATCAAATCTCCCAATGCTTCTCTGATACCTCATATCATGGGCCCCATACATTCTGTCATGCAGCCTGCAAGGCAGTTATTCGGAAAATTTAGCTGGTAAAGGTGTGGTATTGGTATTGTTTTAAATTTGCTGTGATAGCGATCGTCCGTTTGGGGCCACTAACGGGCTAGCGAGTTGGACAAAAACCACCAAGACATTCGAAAATGGAGGATTACCAAGCCAAAAGTATCCAGCAGAGCGTGTCAGATCTGTTCAAGTCGGGCTTGAGATCTGTGGAGGGAATCGAGAATATTGAGCATCAACATCACAAGGTAAACAAAGACTATACTTCGCGTATAGTAAGCCCAGCCCCCCTTTTGTAGTAAGATTGGGCTTAGAGCACAAAGGTACGAGGACTTCGTACTGCGTATTGTATTAAGATACCCCAAAATACCCATTTGCTTAGCTCCTTACCACTTTCCCAGCGGTTCGTCCCCCTGTCGTCAACACGGGCCCCATCTAAAAGTGATCGTAGGCCTTCTTTCTGAGAGGTCTCGCTCTTCACCTTCATCCTTTCCTTCAATCTGATTCGACTGTCAACGCCTCCGGGCGACATTTCTTTTTCGGGTATTCACGACCCAATCCACTCGTTTGGTTACCATTCACCGCATTCTCTTCTTTCCCTCGAGCTTGGGGTTTTGGTGGCCTGGTGTCGACCTGTTTAATCTTGCGCTTTCAACGCTTTCAATTCCGTGCAGAAATGCAAATTGTCCCATCGTGAACATTCTCAGTTGACACATTCCGCGATCGACGCCCGAAATCTACCCGTGGACGTATATACACCGCAGCCCAGCATGTCCAGCTCTTGCATCTCCCTCTCGGGATCCAGCGCCTGCCCGGCATGGAGTGGATCGTCAGTCTCGACAAATTCAACGTTATATGGGAGCTTGTGAGTGATGCGCCGCGTCAGAGTCGAGAATAGTGAAGTGCTGACCATTCGCTGCTAGCCCATTCCTGAAAGGAGTATCAAACCTGACCGAGTTCGATGATTCATTAAAGGATTATGTCTCTGGGTCCTATGTCAATAACAAGTACGTGGGAGAAATTGCTAGGAAGGGAAGACAAGTCACTAATCTGCGCCCATAGGTATGATGACCTGTTAGGTTGCGAAGGTCTTAACTCGAGTGCAACAGACGACTACTACGCGCAATACACTATCAGTGTTATGTGCAGCAGCGTGATACAAAGCTCCATTTCCGACTGCGATCTTTCGACAGATGACTCATTGCCAATTTGTGTGGACACATGCGCCCTTTGGGCGCGAAGTGAGGAGGAAACCATGGTGAATACAGACCTGTGCAGCAGTACCAACAAAGACTACACGAGCCAGATTTACTCCGACCTGGTCATTTGCGAAAAACCGTCGAAAGCACTTTCGGGAGATTGTATCGAAGGAGCCGCGAATGAGCCTGATAACTGTGGCTTTGAATCAAACACCATCGGTCTTTGCACGTATTGTGCAAACGACAGCAACACCTGCTGCGAAAAGTCCAATTCTACAAGCCGCTGTGAAAATGTGCCGGTTCCGACTTCCACTCTGCCGCCACTCACGCCCTCCTCTTCTGCTTCTTCCACCGCTGCCGCGGCTGCCAGCAATGGTTTGTCAGGTGGCGCGATTGCTGGGATTGTAATTGGCTCTGTAGCAGGAGCAGCTATCCTGGCCGCTCTGCTCGCATTCCTTTGCATTTTCATGCGCCGGCGTCGCAGAGAAACTGAAACCGAAGGTGCTTTGAACCAACCGAACCCTCAACGAAAGGGTGGCTCTCCGTCGATGCAGCAACCCCCCAGCCCGACGTCGTACAACATGATCCCCGGAGGTCGCGTAACACGCATGTCTGCTCTGCGCGAGATGCCCAGCTCATCGCCAGCCCATTCGCGAACTTCTGCAGCCATGTATGGTGGCGCGGCCAAGTACAGCGATACGTCTTCCGAGGGCATGCGCTCCAGTCCAGGGGCCATGCACAAGAGCATCCCACCCGTGGCCGGCAAACGCCACGGTTCACTTTCGAGTAATTCCATGCTGGCTGGGATGGAGAGTGACAGCTCGCCCCGCTCTGGTCCAACAAACCAATATTCCTCCCCAGAACAAGTTACAAGTGGTCAATCCGAGCAACTCTCGTACTTCCGCGATTATTACTCCCAAGACGAGATCCAAGCGGGCGATAAGGTCGCCGTGCTCTGGGCATACTCGCCCAGGGCAGGCGATGAGTTCGAACTTGACCGCGGAGAAATGTTGAGAGTGATCGGTATCTGGGACGATGGCTGGGCGACAGGTGTGCGTCTCACCGAGCGTGCCGAGGACTTCGACGTGCACCATCGCGAACAGCGCGATAGTGGCGTCTCAAGCGGCTCTCGTATGCATGGCGCCTCTTCTCCCATGCCATCAGGAGAGATCAAGGCCTTCCCCTTGGTCTGTATCTGTCTCCCACAACACTGGCACAAAATCATCGACGGTGGCCAGGAAGACGACGAAGTTTGAGCTCTCTCAAAGTTCTCTGCAATCTTAACGTCCTGACGAACAGCGTGTTGATCTGTGTTTTTTCCCCCGGCTGGCCATCTGAACGATTTCTAATCGTCCTCAAGCTCTTTTTACACTCGTATTTGATATACCCCATTTTATGACAGTCTCGTCCTTGCCCATTCCATTTTACTTCTCCAGGTTGCTCAGATTTGCTTTTCTTTTTTTTCCCTTCTCAATTGACTTGTGTGGAACCGGTCGCTGGCGCATCGGACTCAGACCAGTTCTTCTATTTCAGAGCTCATCTGGGTCTTCTTATGTACTACACATCTGGTTGCCACTTTTTCCATAACCCGGTGGATGAGGGCCCCTCAGAAGATATCGGACACATAGTGCACGCTTTAATGTATGTACATAATTAGACTCTTGAAACCAAGACCTTTTTAGAAGCAGCTGCACGAGCACCTCGGACTCCATATTGAAGCGTAGCATTTACCTGGATCCATTCCCGTCCCCACAACTCGTCAGGTTTTATCCGCCGCGGAACTTCGCACCAAGTACTCCGTCCTCCGTATATTCGTAATCGACATTTATAATCCAAGCCCCTCATTTCGCAATGGCTTTGGAGATGGCGTTTTCTTTTGTATATAACCTCCACTTTCTTCCTACTCATCCTGACTCCTAAAAATCAAACAATGTCTTCTCCAAAGATCATCCTATACACCAGCCGCCTCTGCCCCTGGGCACACCGTGCACACATTGCCCTCAAGGAATCTGGCCTTGACTATGAAGAAGTCACAATTGATTTGGGCAAGCCCCGAGAGCCGTGGTACCTTGAAGTCAACCCAGTAAGTAAACAGCAGAACACCTGGGCACCTCCCGATTCCACACCCCACATGACCGAATACATATCTACAGAAGACTAACCCAAGCAGCGCGGCCTGGTCCCCAGTCTTTCCTACAATGGCGAGATAATCACCGAGTCCGGCATTGTTGCGCAGTTCATCGCAGATGCCCACCCATCCCACCTGTTGCCTGCATCGGGCCCGGCCGACAACGCCCTCTACCGCGCTCAGCTCTCCTTCTTCGTCGACGCTTTCTTCAGCAAGGTCCTACCCCACTTCTTCAGCAGTATCAAAGCAGCTACTGAAGGTGAACGGGATGAGGCAGCCGAGCTGCTCGCTGCCGCCGTCGTCAAGGAGATCGAGCCCCTGCTAGCCGCTACAGAGGGCAAGGGTCCTTTCTTTGGTGGTAGTGATAAGCTTACCCTGGCCGAGGTTCAGGCTGGTTCCTTTTTGTTGAGGATTCTGGGCTTCGCGAAGCCTGAGCATGGTCTCGTCAGTGCGAAGCTACCCGGTTTGCTGCAGCAGGCTCCTAAGTTCAAGCGCTGGGCTGAGGCGACTGTTGCTCATGACAGTGTTAACTTTATCTGGGACGAGAAGCTTGTCGCTGACAAGATGAGGGCTAAATTTGCCCCTAAGGTTTAGTTGGATAGGCAACTGGCTGGTAGGATTCTACCCAAGTCTTTGGTGGGATGATTTACGACACCGAGAATGAGAAATGATTTCAAAGTTATCAAATAAGATGACATTTACAACCGCTCAATATTGTACTGCAATTCTAACGCTGCAAGTTTTGAGCAATATTGCAGACCCTAGATCCATAAGCATATATAAAACCAAAGGAATGGCCGGGACAGTGGGCCTGACAAAAATAGCCGGCACTGACGTGTCCCATGGTAAACCAAATTTAGCCTGCACGTCAAGCCTCACCTGTAGCCCTGGAGCCTCCATGTACACTATGCATTGAAATGATATGCAGCGTTGCCAGGGCAGTGATTTTCCTTAGCGCAAGACATGGGAAAAAAGTCTCTTCAAGTACCTCAATGGCAATGTGTTACCCGGATACGTGTTCAATCCAAAGACATCTCCAGGCAGCGCTGTAGATTCCAATAGTCTCAAATCATAATTCCAGGCATCTCCTTTGTACTCTGTACTTTGTAGGGAAATCCGGGAAATAATTTACTGAAAGGCAAAGATCACGTGCCGCCACCCCACTAAGGCAACACCTGGGCAATTCACCCCTCAAACTCCATCTTCCCCGTCTCATCCTCCATTCTTGGCTTCGTTTCTGTAAGTTGCTAGGTTTCACACTGCTTTGGGTCATGACTCTGGAAGCCCTCGAGTGACTTGTGTTGAGACTCTCACTAACATCGCGTGCTAGCCTAGACAACCCCCTCCTCTTTTTTGTCCCCCCCCCAACTACATAAGCAAATATGTCTGTATGTATTGACTCTCCAATCCTATGCCGGGAATCACTTCAGATACTGACTATTGTGTTGCGCAGCTCGCATCGGGGTGAGTCGTCCACGTCCGCATTTCCGGTTTTCGGTTTCCCCTCACTTTCAGCCGTTGTTGACACCTTCTCCCTACAGTGTCCAAATCCAGGATGAGTGCATCACCGCATACCAGGACTTCAGCCGGAGCCACGGCAAGACCAAGTACATCATCTACAAGATCGCAGACAACAAGAAGGAGGTCGCTGTAGACTCCGTCGGCCACGACCAGGACTACGAGGTCTTCCGCGAGGAGCTCGCCAGTGCCAAGGACAGCCAGGGTCGCCCCGCTCCCCGCTACGCCGTCTACGACGTCGAGTACGAGCTCCCCGGCGAGGGCAAGCGGTGCGCATTGACATCCCGCAACTTGACTGGCCGCTTACTGACCTGAATCCCGTACAGCTCCAAGATCATCTTCATCTCCTGGGTTCCCAGCGAGACCCCCACTCTCGTAAGCCGATCCGCAGACCATTCCCCCCCTAAGTGACCAATTGGCTAACAATGCTCTTCTTCAGTGGTCCATGATCTACGCCAGCACCCGTGAGGTTCTCAAGAACGCCCTCAACGTTGTCACTTCCATCCACGCCGATGACAAGTCCGATATCGAATGGAAGACAGTCCTGAAGGAGGCCAGCGGTGGCAAGGCATAGATGAAGGCGCCGGCTGGATCCGGGCTGCGCGACTGAAAGGGGTGCGCCTCTGACGGCGCGGAACGATCAATTCATAATCTTCTCTGCACAACGTTCTCCCATTTTCCTTCTTAGTTGCAATGCAAGACCGTTACGACTTGGCCCATGCTGTTCATCTTGCATGAGGGCTTCTGATTCTTGAACCTATTCACTTGGTCTTTTTTTACCGACCCCCTCCTGTTATCTGACAGCCTTTAACGATATTCCAAAACTCGGTGCAGCGGGCAATTTGCAGCCTGGCGAATCGACTCCATGAGATGATGATGTTCTTGGTGATGTGCTGGTGAGCTCAGTAGGATATTAGGGCCCTAGATATAACCTGGAATTGGTTGACAAGGGACAGAGGCGGCTGAGATTTCCGATTGGGATAATGTAGATTATGGGCAAGAATTGGAATATATCCAATCATTTCCAAAGAGTCATCGGTTAAATTGGGAGGAAGAACATCTATCAGCCGTACTGGGATATCATGTCATACGATGGAGTGAGAAATGATGATGTTCTTTTGGCAGATTGATGGCCCCAATAGCCCAGGAGCCAATGAGAGGGCCGCCAAACCAAATGGCGCTAGTCCCGACCGGAAACTCGCCTTTCCACCTCAAACCACAAGAAACGTCTTCAAGTCCTTCTCCATCCACGATCCCCCTCCACTCTCTCCTAAGCCGTGCCCTAGCGTGCTCTCCGGCCTAAAATTCCCCCGTCCTCCAATCCTCTCCTCAATTGTATCCGATTTCGACGTGGTGCTCCCACCTCCCGCCCGCCGCACAATGTTTCTTCGCACCATCTCTCGCGCTGTTCCTCGCAGTACCGCGGCCATCCGTGCTGCCCCGGTCGCTCCTCTGAACGCCCTGCAGACCCGCGCTGCTTCGGACCATGCCATCTCCAACCCTACTCTCGCCAGCATTGAGAAGCGCTGGGAGGGTATGCCCCCTCAGGAGCAGGCCGAGCTCTGGATGCAGCTCCGCGACCGCATGAAGGTCGACTGGCACCAGATGACTCTCCAGGAGAAGAAGGCCGGTACGTGATAGTTCTTGCATAGATGGACTCGACAATCGCACTTTCGCGTCATCTACCCTGCGACTTCCGAGGGTATATCAGTCGGGTTGTCCGGCACGACTATCAACCCTCGGGATGACTCTCTGCGATGCAACATCTTGCTAACATATATTGCCATTGCTCTAGCTTACTACATTGCCTTCGGTGCCCACGGTCCCCGTGCCCAGACCCCCAAGGGTGAGGGTATCCGCGTTCTCGGCAAGGTTGCCCAGCTCACAGCTGCCGCCGTCGCCATCTTCTTCACCATTCACTACTTCGCCGGCCCCAAGCCTGGTACTATGTCCAAGGAGTGGCAAGAGGCCTCCAACGAGTACGCTCTGGTACGTATATGCCGATCCCACAATTGGTCCCTCGACCCGGGGAAGTCTCTGCTCCTCGATCCCATGCTAACCCTTTCCACAGCGGGAGAACATGAACCCCATCCACGGTATCAGCAAGCCTGGTTACGAAGGCAAGGGCTTCGTTCAGAGCCCCCCTGCCGAGAAGTCATAGGTGCACCGGTTGCCCGACCGGGGGATGACTTGATATCCACACAGAAACGACACGCCTTCGAGATAGACTCCTCCCAAGCCGGCGGTGCTGGGATTCTCATGGTTGACCTTTGGTATTTAATGGGCTGTCTCTTCAGTGTGTCGTCGGCTGTTCCTCCATTCTGTCCTTGTTTTTTTCCTGCCCGCAAGCATTCGAAAAATGCGTGTATTCCGTACTGTGCTATAATCAATGTATCTCCTTTGTAGCCATAGAGAATATTTTGATTTACGTGTGTTATAGTGGTTTCGATGAAGGAATTAGCTACTCTGTACATACTCCGTACTGTAGTGTTGGTAACTATGAAGCTGTCTGTGGGTATACCCCTGCGTCCGAGATGGCGTGGTCCCTACGGAGTGATTCGGAACCAGCTCCAAGTGCGGAGAATCCCTGCTTTGGGCTATTTTCGAGCTTGATATCCTCAATTACCTACTCGTATATTATCCAAGTAGTATCTTGAAATTATTGATATTGTGTATTATTTAAGTATATCTCTAATTAGCTCAACGCTATAAATAAGGTGTATAGAGAGAATCTATAAAGTCACTGAACTCCCGGATTCTAAAGTTCTGCGGTTGACCCCCCAACACGTCAGAGATTTTCCGAACATTGCAGCTCTCGGACCAAAGGGGCCATTGACCTTGGGATATTTCCCAACCCTGAGGACTAAACAGTCCTAGTCACGGTTTTAATTTAACTCTCTTAATCCGGGGAACACAGAGAGCAAGATTGATGGTGCTTTATATCCAATTCGTGTCCCTGCACCCGGCCGCCAAGCCCCGGTGTGTGCGCGAATTCCCAACCGCGAGCTTCCCTCGGCCCAGCTCACCATCACCTAGGGGAAAGATGAGGGTGAAACGATCAAATGCAAGGCCCAACCCTTCTTCAAAGATGAAAGAATAGATATCAATTAAAACAATACATACATCCCTTTAAAAAACAACAAGTAGAAGTCGCTCGGTTCATCACGGGATCGTCGGCAAAACCGCCCCGGAAAGGCTAAGGGCGACCAGTCCCCGTCCACCAACCTCTTCCCTTCTCTTCTTCCCTCTTTTCCCGTTCCAACCTCACCTCCCTTTCCATCCACACCTCGCTCTTCAACACCTCCATCATGTTCAAGAGGTATGAAATTTCGATCAAATTATCGCCTTATTTTCGACAAAACTAATTTTCCTCTCTAGCGGTCTCGCCCGGTCATTTGGACGGGCTTCCTTCGCCCGGACAACCCCCGTTGCCCGCGCCTTCCAGCCCATCCGCTCCAATGCCCTCCCTGCTCTCACTGCCCGCTTCGCTAGCACCGATGCTGGCTCCTCCGGCAAGGTTCACCAGGTCATTGGTGCCGTCGTTGACGGTACGTGTTGTCCACTCCTGACGGAATGGGGACCTCGCGAAAATCTTTTCCATGGACCCAATCCATCATCAAAACCATCGCAATCAACTCCAGAATCATCAACAGAACCGTATCTGACTTTGTTTTCGCCATTTTACAGTGAAGTTCGCCGGCGACAAGCTCCCTGCCATTTACAACGCCATTGAGACCACCAACAACGGCCAGAAGCTCGTTCTGGAGGTTGCCGTACGTAATCCGATTGGATGAATCCTTCGACCTCGATCTCAAGCTAACCTCCTGCTATAGCAACATCTCGGTGAGAATGTTGTCCGTACCATTGCCATGGACGGTAAGCTACCTCCCCCTTCCCCCCTGTCCGGGCCACCGTGTCGTTCTCTTCCCGATCGGGAGACCCACCGGGTGCGCCCCTACCGACATTTCGGAGCTTTAACTAACGTCACTCTTCAGGTACTGAGGGTCTCTCCCGTGGTGTTGCCGCCAACGACACCGGTGCTCCCATCACCATCCCCGTCGGTCCCGCCACCCTGG